GATATAAACTACAAATTTGACTTTTTTTCTCACAATTCTGGCTTCATAACACGCAATTGAGTCTTTATATCTCACAATTCTGACTTTATAACACAATTGCGACATTATATAATGCAATTCTAAGATAAAAAGTAAATGTAAATCCCAATTGTGACAAAAAAAATCAGAATTGCGAGATGTAAGGTCGCAATTACATGTTATAAAGTCAGAATTACAAGATATAAACTCCAAATTTGAATTTTTTTCTCGCAATTCTGACTTTATAACACAATTGCAACATTATATAATGCAATTCTAAGATAAAAAGACAGAAATGCGTGATGTAAATGGCAATTGTGAGAAAAAAAGTCAGAATTATGAGATAAAAAGTCTCAATTACCTTTTTATTTTTTTATTCTGTGGCAAAAACAAGCTTCTGTAGATTGTTCATTCGACCCACACAAACAACTAAACTATAGTTAGATGTATTGTATGAAATAAGTTTTTAATAACAATAAGCTCATTGAAGACTCTGTGAAGTTACGATGATGATGAAGTCATGAGAAACAACCGTTTATTAATCAGAGCATGTGAGAAAATGATTAGACTGACCTGTATGGCTGGGTGAAGTTTGTGTAACAACGAAACACATTTCCTGCCACGAAGACGGGCGCCGTGAGTATTAAAGGCAAAACACTGTATGGAGAGATCAGGACAGACATTATATTCCTAAACTCTGCTAATATCACATTTTCAGTTTTATCGTGCCCTATATTTTATGCAGGATTATAATAAGTAAAAATGCTTTAAGTAAATATTGCTTGAACATGTACTGTACACACTGACAACTAGCTGAAATATTTCTATATTTCTATATTTCAGTACAAAAAAATTGTTTACGGTTTTAGTCACTATCCTGGAAAAAACTATGCGTTAATAGTAATTCCTGCTAACAATCGGCTATAGCCTATTAAAACATGCTAGCAATGTGCTAAGTCATGCTAGAAACATGTTATGTTAGCAATGTACAAATCGTGCTAGCAACACGTTAAAACATTAGCAATGTGGTAATTCATGCTAACAAAGTGTTTAAATGTGGAATGTGCAAACTGATGGTTGAAACATGCTAGCAATTAAACATGCTAACAGCATAACCACCTAGAAAGTAAAAAAACTTTAATGTAAACATTGCTTGAATGTGTACTGTACATTCTGGCAACTAGCTGAAATAAAAAAGTCAGGGTTTTTTAATACTGTATTTCAGTTAAAAATTGTTTACCGCTTTAGTCGCTATGCTAGCATGTGTTAAAAAACATGTTAGCAACATGCTAATTCTTGCTAGCAATGTGCTAAGTCATGCTATAAACATGTTCAATTATGTTAGCAACATGTCAGCAATGTACAAATCATAATAGCAACATGCTAAAACATTAGCAATGTGCTAATTCATGCTAACAAAGTGTTAAAATGTGGAATGTGCAAACTGATGGTTGAAACATGCTAGCAATATGTTATTACATGTTAGAAATTAGTTAATTCAATGTGTTAAAACATGCTAGCTAACAACATAACCCCCTAGCAATTAATCTATCCATCTATCAAAACTTCTTCGAACTTTATGGTCATGCTTTCTCAAGCCAACATCAATGTTTGTTTGTTTTTTCGACAAATTTTTGTATTATAGTCTCAGGTAAGTGCAATCAAACTTGTTTTATAAGTCCATTACATAAATGATGCTGCTCCATCTATATTTAGTATCAGTTTCAGTGATATTTTTATTTCGCTGATGTTCAGTGTACTCACCACGACAGTACTGGGGCCAGACATCTGCAATTTCTTGCTCTTGCTGGATTCTGAAATAAACAGGCTAATCAGTATTGCCAGCATGTACAGTAAAATAAATGACTACATTGTCCTGCTTTATATTTCCTTCATTAACATAATGATGAACTGAATACCTCGGCTGGGAGCCCATTCAGTCTCCTGTGATACTTTCTGCTCAGCCCGGCGTAAAGCACCCAAACATAGTGCAGCGTGTAAAAGAAGGAGGCCATATAAAGAGTCTGCGGGATGGGAAAGTCAAAGGAAGACGTTAATGAAGTTTAATTAGTTACACATTCCAATCTCAGAAAAGGTTGAACCATGTTGTCACAATCCTGTAACCCATGTCTCTCTTTATTTAGAGGAGTAGTTCACTTTTGAAAAAACTTTCTGATAATTTACTCACCCCCATGCCATCCAAGATGTCCACGTCTTTCTTTCTTCAGTCGAAAAAAAATTAAGGTTTTTGATGAAAACATTCCAGGATTTTCTCCATATAATGGACTTCAATGGGGACCAAACGGTTCAAGGTCCAAATGAGAGTTTCAGTGCAGACTACAAACTGTTCAAAGGGCTTTAAACGATTCCAGACGATGAATAAGGGTCTTATCAAGCGAAACGATCGTTCATTTAATAAATAAATAACAAAGTTTAAGTTTTATAAGCTCAAATGCTCACCTTGCTCTGTTCTGTGACACGCATTTACGACTCTCCTGTTCGAACTCGTTCATCAAAATGAACAAATCTTTTCTGAGTCATTTGGTTCATTCAACAAAACAAATTGACTCGGGATAAGATTTGTTCATTTTGATGAACGAGTTCGAACAGGAAAGTCACGAATGTGCGTCACAGGACAGAGCAAGGTGAGCATTTGAGCTTATAAAACTTAAACTTTGTTATTTATTTATTAAATGAGCGATCGTTTCGCTTGATAAGACCCTTAATCATCGTTTGGTGTCATTTAAAGCTCTTGAACAGTTTGCAGTTTGTACTGAAAGTGTCTTTTGGACCTTGAACCGTTTGGTCCCCATTGAAGTCCATTATATGGAGAAATGTTTTTATCAAAAAACTTTAATTTCTTTTCGACTGAAGAAAGACTGACACGGGGGTGAGTAAATTATAAGAAAAAGTTTTTTGAAAAGTGAACAACTCCTTTAACGATACAAACAAACTAAATACACAGACTCAGTGAGGGGAGAAAACAAGGAACAGGTGGGGTTAATCAATTAACAAACCATGATTAACCATGGAAACAACTAATGAACAGAGACAAATGAAACAAGAACTATCAAAGGTAAAACAGAAACTTCAGGTGACCGTATACTTTTCGCTATTATGAAAATATAATATGCTTATTTGCACATTGAATGCAATGTGTTCGGACACATGTCTACATGTTAATTGCATTAAATGAAAATATATTACAGTTTAAATATATATTAAATGCAGCTAGCTGAACTTCTCTTTAATTTAAGTACATCATTATATGTAATTTCATAATTGCATCTGTTGTCTCTGAAATATGAAGTATACAGCTAAATGTACTTATGGTAAATTAAAGTATACGTTAATGTCATTTCTATTAAAACCTGTATTTAAATATATGTATAATTACACATTTATAATAATGAAGTTGCATTTAAAGTATATTAACTTTATAATTAATATCAAACAAATTTAAAATTATAATCCAGTACTTTAAATGCGCTTTAGTGTGTTAATCAACACATCAAAATTGCTGTCAAACGATTAATCGCATACAAAATTAAAGTTTGTGTTTACATAATATATATGGGTGTACTGTGTATAATTATTTTATATATATAAATACACACACATGCATGTATATTTAAGAAAAAAATATTATATAAAATATTTATATAATATATAATATAAATTATATATAAATCTATATACATGAAAATATTTCTTAAATATATACATGCATGTGTGTGTATTTATATATATATATATAATAATTATACACAGTACACCCACATATATTATGTAAACACAAACTTTTATTTTGGATGCGATTAATCGTTTGACAGTCCTAAAATAAATACTTTACATCACGAGTCACAAAACATTAGTAAAACATAATGATTTAAAATGTACTTTAAATGTTAAACTTTTAACTTGACATTATTACAAAGTCCACTTAAGTGTGTTAAGAAATAGTTTACTCTCTTTAAGTACACTTAAGTGGCCTTATTAATATTAAATTATCTGTAAGTAAACCTTTTCTCAAAAGTTTGAATTGCACTATATGTGTCATGCACATTTTTTTACACAAGGAACTCAGGGTTAGGAAAACACCACGCTTGTAGACATTCATGTCATTCCAAAGAGGCACTGAATGTCATTCCAGGATTGAGCAAAGATAGAATATCTTTCCTTTTTAGGTTTTCCTTTTTATTTTGCTTTGAGCACAGTTGACTTATAGCACAGAGGATTATAGTTGTTAGTTATATTTGATCAAGGTGTGTTTTGCCTGATTTTAACAGTCACAAAACTAAGTACACTATTGCACTATTCCAAAATGCGTCAGCGGGTTAAAGCATGTGTCATACTCATATTCAGTCAGTGCAGTATTGTGTGTGTGTCAATGACACCGCCATAACTTTGAGTTAAACACATAAAGCTCATGCAAAGGTGAATGTGAAGTCAGTTTAATATGATTTAAGTTATAATGACTTGTACAACCAACTTGATTATACTTAAAACTTAAAGAAAGCAAGTTTTTGAATTAAAATGTGGATTTTTTTATTATTTTTTACATCGACACTCTAAAAAATGCTGGGTTGTTTCAACCCAAATTTGGGTCAAATATGAACGAACCCAAATGTTGGGTTAAAAATGTAATTACAAAAATCACAGATAAACGTGAAAGCTGAAGTTGGGTTAAAATTTTAAATGACATTTTTAACCCAACATTTGGGATTGTCCATATTTGACCCAAATTTGGGTTGAAACAACCCAGCATTTTTTAGAGTGTATGATTTAGTTTTTTCAGTGCACTCTAAAAATGCTGGGTCATTTCAACCCAAATTTGGGTCAAATATGGACAAACACAAATGTTGGTTTAAAATACATGTACATTTTAAAGTAAAAGTTGAAGTTGGGTTAAAATTTTAAATGACATTTTTAACCCAACATTTGGAATTGTCCATATTTGACCCAAATTTGGGTTGAAACAACCCAGCATTTACAGATGGAAGTGAAAGTTGGGTTAAAATTTTTAATCAAAATTTTAACCCAACATTTGGGATTGTCCATATTTGACCCAAATTTGTTGGGCATTTTTTTGAGTGTATGACTTAGTTTTTTCAGTGCACTCTAAAAAATGCTGGGTTATTTCAACCCAAATTTGGGTCAAATATGGACAAACCCAAATGTTGGTTTAAAATACATGTACATTTTCAATTAAAAGTTGAAGTTGGGTTAAAATTTTAAATTACATTTTTAACCCAACATTTTGGTTTGTCCATATTTTAACCCAATTTTGGGTTAAAACAACCCAGCATTGTTTAGAGTGTATGATTCTGTTGTTATAGATTAATACCAAATAACGGTTATTCTTAAAATAAGACGAAAATCACATTCAAATATAGTTTTACATATTTTACACTTCTAGTGGTTCCCTAAACAAAAAAAGAAGAAAAGATGAACTGATTAAAGATCATTGTAATTAGTCATTATGAGCTGTTGAAATTGTAAATGATTCTAGTAAACGTATGCATGCCTGTCGGCTCTGATGTGACTCATCAGAGAGTGTCACATGACCTCGGGCTGGGTTTTCCAAACCTCAGGGCGTTTTCACTACATGGAGGATTGGCAAACAGTGTCAAATGTGAAGAAAAAACGCATTTTCCACAAATAGCATGGGTTCAAAAAAGGGTCTGAAACATTTCTTTTTCTTCTTATAATTATGCGAGTGACAATTTTGAACTGTTAAGCTTGACAAATGCATCCAACACTACAATATATACGTATATAAACTGAGAAAATGGAATGAGATTATTTACTTATGGTGTAAAATTATGGAGACATGGTTATGGAAAAAAATGATGAGAGGAAACATTATATTTCAATGCTCACAAAAACCTTTGCTTTTTCCAGAGAAACTTTTAGCAAAATGACTCTCCTGTTCGAACTCGGTCATCAAAATGAACAAATCTTTTTCCAAGTCATTTGGTTCATTCAACCAACGAAACCAACGAATTGACTCGGAAAAAGATTTGTTCATTTTGATGAACGAGTTCGAACAGGAGAGTCACGAACGTGTGTCACAAAACAGAGCAAGGCGACCATTTGAGCTTATAAAACTTAAACTTTGTTATTTATTTATTAAATGAGCGATCGTTTCACTTGATAAGACCCTTATTCATCGTCTGGAATCGTTTGAAGCCCTTTGAACAGTTCGCAGTTTGCACTGAAACTGTCTTTTGGACCTTGAATTGTTTGGTTCCCATTGAAGTGCATTATATGGATATGGAGACTTGTTTCATTGCTGGATGAATTAAATACTGCCGTTTTTTGGACAAATCTTTGAATAAATGATTCAATGACTCACTCATAAAGACTTGTTTCATTGCTGGATGAATTAAATACTGGCGTATTTGGACAAATCTCTTGAGTGAATGATTCAATGACTCACTCATAAAGACTTGTTTCATTGCTGGATGAATTAAATACTGGTGTATTTGGACAAATCTCTTGAATAAATGATTCAATGACTCACTTATAAAGACTTGTTTCATTGCTGGATGAATTAAATACTGGCGTTTTTTGGACAAATCTCTTGAATAAATGATTCAATGACTCACTCATAAAGACTTGTTTCATCGCTGGATGAATTAAATACTGGCGTTTTTGGACAAATCTCTCGAGTGAATGATTCAGTGACTCACTCATAAAGATTTGTTTCATTGCTGGATGAATTAAATACTGGCGTTTATGAACAAATCACTTGAGTGAATGATTCAGTGACTCACCCATAAAGATTTGTTTCATTGCTGGATGAATTAAATACTGGCGTTTATGAACAAATCTCTTGAGTGAATGATTCAGTGACTCATTTTTTAACGGTCACTCGTCGCCACCTACTGGTGTAACGATGTAATCGAGACAATCATTATTTGAAGAGTCAAGTTACTTTGAAACAGTGATTTAGCCTATTTTGATCACGAGTACAGACATCAGTGTTTATAGCCGATCTTTAAACGTTTATCCCAGTACTTCTATGATAATTTGAATTATTGTATAATGACACTGTGTGTGTTTGAAAAGACTGTTTGTGAAGCTTTTTTTTTACGATTAATCGTGCCTCTCTACTTAAAAGTCTGGGGAAACCATTTCCAAAACAACAGACTGAACTTTGCCCACGCATTACTGAGCGGTGACGTCCACACACACCCATGACAATCCACTGCTATAATCAAGTGTGTGTGTGGATTTTAAAAGTGGGGCACAACTAATTATATCTGGCCAAAGAATATGAACCAAATTTGATGCTCCACTTCCTTTCACGTTCGTCCCAGTTCCATGTTTTTTGTGCTTTAGAACAAACTGGATTTGATGTCTGAGCGGAGAACAACTCATTGTTGAAGTGAAACTGTCTAGCACACACACAGAGCTTTTCATCTATGTGATATTTTACCAAAGTGAAAAACAAACAGTCTTCAATAATGAGAGACACATGTTTGGGCCTGTAAAGCACTGGCAGAGTAGAGGAATGAATGTGGACTTTCCCTAACTGGTGTTTTAATTTTTTTTTTTTTTTTTTTTTAGCATTTACGTAACAATTTATTGGCTTCCGTTTTCAAAAAAAAAAAGGATTTTGTTATTTTGAGGTACCATACAATATGCACTTATAAGGTTATTTTATGGTAGTCGAGAAATCTTCGAAAGTGGTACTTTCATGGTACTTCTATGGTACACGTCCAATAAACCTTGCATTTTTAGTAACATGCAAAAAAACAGTCTGTTAAATAAAAAGATTCCTTGAATTAAAAGTGACGGGAGAAAACAATGAAAGAATTGTTAAAGTGCCTCTATTATGTTTTCTCTTTCATGCAGAGTGTGAATGTAAAAGGTCTGCAAAGTTTTGACAAATAAAGTTATTTTCTCTCAAAAGAAAGAAGTGATTATGAACTGAAACGAGTCGTCGGTAATCTCAGTCTTGGTGTTAAATCTGCATTTGCAAATCTATGCTTTTGATTGGCTGCCCGTGAACGACGTCAAATTTGCCAAAAAACAAACTTCATGTTGATAAGACACTGTTTTCTGCTGCCAAAGCAAATCCACTTCTAAAGTAAATGCACTGATAAAGTAAATCTGACGGCATCATTACTGTTATGTGTCTGGAAGATCCGGAGCTGAAATTCAGATATACTATGGATGTTTGGTTTCTGACACCAAGCGTAGACCAATCACAACAGGCTGGGGCATCTGACCAATCAGAGCAAAGCAGACTAATCACAACAGACTGGTTCCCCATCTGTCCAATCAGAGCAAGCTTTAGGAAAGGCGGGGTTATGCTAATACAGTCCATGTTTGGTTTCCGGTGCTGTAAGCTGTCGACCAATCACAACAGACTGTGCTGTCTGACCAATCAGAGCAGAGTAGTAGACCATTCACAACAGAATGGCAGCCGATCTGACCAATCAGAGCAGAGCAGACTCTCGCAAAGGAGGGGTTTAGAGAGACTGAGGCCCCGTCCACACTACTGCGTTTTCATTTAGAAATGGAGACCTTTTGCTAAATTTGCACCTCCCGTCCAGACTAAAACGGGAAAAACGAAGACCTAAATCCGAGAAGTTTAGAAACGCTGCAGCTCCGTTTTGAGTTTTGAGGGCGTTTTAGTGTAGACGAGACAAAACGGAGGACTTCAGAAACGCTGACGCAGAGGCTGACGCTCGGGTGTTATCATTCATGACGTATCCTTCCCTGATTCGCCAGCCACTGTTTACACCGGCACGCGCATGCCCAGTGTTGGTGAATGATCACGTTATCCGCGTTTTCAGTCGTTTTAATGTGGACGGAGATCAATTCTAATACGCAGGTAAAACGCTGGTGTGGACGGAGATCGTATTCGTTTTTAATTCTCCGTTTTTAAACGAAAACGCAGTAGTGTGGATGGGACCTGAATAGTCGAATAAAGTTTTTTTTGTGTGTTTGTTGCGCACAAAAAGTATTTTCGTCGCTTGATAAACTTAAGAATGAGCCGCTGTAGTCACTCTGACTATTTTAACTATGTCTTTAATAACTTTTCTGAGCCGGCAAGTTTCGATGGATGAGTGATCCAGCTCTCAGATTTAATCAGAAATATCTTAATTTGTGTTCTGAAGATGAACGAAAGTCTTACGGGGTTGAACAACATGAGGGAGAGTAATTACTGACAGAGTTTACATTTTTGGGGTGAATTATCCCTTTAAAACAGCAAAACAGGAGCACTTTAAACGTTTGAAAAAGATGCTCATCTTAGAAATATGATTGTTCTTTTGATTCCAGATGCAGTTAATCAAATATTATTGCTCCAATGTGGCTTTTATTTTTGTGGAAGTGGAAGTATGATGTAAAAAAAGACATATTAGAGGAAGTACTGTTCTTTCGCCTATCATAAGCATTATTTTGGCATAATATTGCGTCACTTTCTTTTGTACCTGTTCCACTATGTGGAGGTTGTAGCAGACGTCGTAAGAGGTGCAGTTCTGGGTGAAGAGAAGACCACCAACCATCCAACTCAAAGCTAACAGCAGATCTGTTAAACTCAACAAGAATAACGGCAGCACCTGGAACACAGGTTTGTTTCTGTGGTCAAAATTACATCTGCATGCATGAACATATTGTTAATAATTCAATAGCTATGAAAACTCACCTCTGGTTTTTTTACTAGTCTTGTATAAATGGCATATCCAATTATGGAGCCAGCACCTACAATGCTGTGATGCAAATTATTAACACATATTAATAAGTATACAAGACATAAGACACATCTATTATATGACTGCAAAAGTAATAAATAAAAAAATTAAATTAAAATAAAATAATATAGATACCTCAGGACGGCCATTGTCATTTGAATACATCGAACTATAGAGTATACCTTTGAAAAGAGAAAACAATAGTGCGTGTGTGAGTTTATTTTAAGCATTGTAGAGCATCAAATGCAAGATACGTATTTTTATGAGTTTATGACCATGCTTGACCTAGAAATGTTTGGATAGCCGTTACGGAAGTCAGAGATTAATTTACTTGTTAAACAAGAAATAGCTTAGTTTTTAAAATGATTATTAGCTATTTTTAAAATTCCTTACACTATTAGTCATTTAAAAAAAAGTTAAAATGACACGAGAACCGTGCCCTATGTAAAAGCTATTATTGAACAATGTTGTAAGTAAAATTACTTACAAATGTCCAGTTTTCAGTCGGAATGGTGGTGTTCATCGGTGACTTATCTCGGCCAAAAATGTCCATATTGCTCGCAATAATAAATTGTCTATTTAGTGATAAATTAATTCGAGCCCTATATTCCTCTCGAAATCCTTCCTTATGTAACGTGACAACAGTAAAAAGCAGTTCTAATGTATATTTGCTACCAGCTCATGCCAAAATAATAATCATTTAAACAGACACACAAGTTACAAATGTGCTTTCTCAAACTCGAGTACTGTAAATAAAAACCAGCGCGCCCCGCCCACTGTATCACAACGCGATTTCGATTGGCTACGATCCGCTTGCGTCACACATTCGTCATGTTTTAATGTACATTCCGCGCTCAAAGCGCCCGCGTGCTTCACTCTGTATGGCGAGAGACTGGCGCATTGTCCGGTTTGGCTCGCTCAATATTCTGTGTTTACAAGGAGTACGTCCTGTTTTTTGGCCAAATTTGTTTGCCTGTTGTCCCATTCGTGAAAATGCCGTTCACATCGTGATGACAATCAGGATCTTGCATGAACATATCAGGCAAAAACTGAAAGTGTCAGTATACTACTTACTAGCCTAACTAACGCGTTATTTTATATTACAAACAACCTATATTAAAATAAATATTACTCCTATTTGACTTGCTACCCTTTTTGGTATTTAGGCTGTACCTAGAAACTAGTTTGTTTGCAATTAGGCATTATTCTCAAAGGAACAGCATATGTAGTCTAACTGAATCCAGGTTGCTTGTGCATCTATTTTCAGTGACATGCACATTTACATTCGCATAATTGCTCAGTATTTTACCTGTCCAAACGTCAAACATGTTAACTTAGGGATAGATCTGGCTGAAGTACAAAGTTAGCATATTGTATGTCATTCTCTCACCTGTCAGTTTGCATGAGCATCAGAGGTCTACATCCCTCAGCCACGTCTGGCTTCATTAATGACAGTATGCTTGAGAACAATGGACACAAGCACTGCCTATGAAGGCTGTCTGAGGGAGTTTCTGTCATCTCTTCACTTCACATGGAGCTATCTAACGAACAGATCCAGTACACACACATACACACACATGATGCAGGTTTGAGTCCAGATTGTGCATCAAATTTTCCCCTCTTTCGTCATATCCATTAAAACATGCAAACAAACCTGCTCATTTCATTTTAGCACTTTTAGCTTGGGTCGTTCAAACAAATATATAGAGATATAGGTAAACTGGGAAAATGGTGTGGTTATAGTTGTATGACAAGGTGCACTTCATGCTCTGCCACAATAGTTGGCATTCGGACTTTGATTTTCAATTTCTTGTGCATGCATACTGTTCAGAAATCTGAATAAATTGAATAAAACTGACATTTATTTTTTAAAAAAAATACACTTTTAAAGATTATGATGTATAGCATACACTCACCTAAAGGGAGGGACATGGTCAGAAACAATGCTCACCTTTCTTTCCCATTCTGACATTCAGTTTGGAGTTCAGGAGATTGTCTTGACCCCTAAATGCATTGGAGCAACAGCCATGTGATTGGTTGATTAGATAATTGCATTAATGAGAAATTAAACAGGTGTTTCTAATCATCCTTTAGGTGAGTGTCTATACAAAATGTATTTTTTTATTTTATTTGAATAGCTGCAACACAGTCCAAAAAAGTTTTGAGAATATCCCAATTAAAATGTTTTGAAACAGTCCACAATGAGTAGTTGAACTGGTGAGAGGATTGTGGGTATAAAACGTAACTTCTCTGTGTTTGCAAGCAAAGGTCATCATGGGTCAGTCTATAGATTTCATGATATTCTCTTCCAGATTACTGAACCAAATGTATGGATCAACCGGGTTCATACAGAAAACATGTTAGTGTGTGAAATATCTTCTTTGAAATAATAATAATAAGGTTAGAGGTCACAGACATCTGCTTTATTTGGCTTCGAGCAGTGGGGCATTATTGGGTTTCGAATCCAAAACAGATGACACTTGCATGAAATAACAATATAAAAACCCCTTTTCTCTCTTCCCTTTTCAGTTTCCACTGAAATAACGATAGACTGCTTGCAAAGCATTACATAGGCCTATATATATATATATATATATATAAAATAAGTTAATTGGATGTTGTGTGTAAAACAATTTTGCTCACTATTGAGAATCAGATTTGCAATGAAACATTAAATGCACAGACTTTCTGTTTTTATGTTGAGATCAATTCTTCACTAAATTAAAAGCCTGTTTCCGCTATATTAGAAAAAATAACAATATTTGTGTCAATCATAATTATGAGATAAAAGTCTTTTATGTCATCATTTAGATTTTGCAATCTCATAATTTCGTTTTATTTTATCTCATTTTTTTCTTGTGTGTCAGAAATAGACCTCCATGTAAACATAAAATGTGTTAATAATGTATTATCTGCTATAGCACTCCAAAACAATGCCAACCAGTTTCATAACTTTCACAGAATAACTTTCAGTTCTGTGTGTTTTTTGGTCCAGGAAACCAGACAATAAAAAAGTACTGTGAAGACTATACAGTCATAATTCAGGAAGATGGAAAGCCCCGCACAGCCTCATGGGCCGGACCAGGAATATTTGCACAATGCCCAGGGCACCTGATCATAACAACCTTTAAAAGGAAGCAATCTTCATGGTCACATTATACCACATATCAAATATTCACCATCATGGTGTATTGTGTGAGAATTTTCACTTGCCAAAAAAACAAACTAGAAAAAAATATTTTTGGTTTAACTTAAAAAATGAAGTAACCTGGCTGCCTTAAAATTTAAGTTCATTAAAATGAAAAAAAAAAATTGAGTTAATACAATGAAGGAGATTGATTTAATCATCAGAAACTCAAAATATTGTATTATCTGAACTAAATAAATTATTTAAGTTGATTTGACAAAAGGAAAAAATGTTGTGATTTCAAATCGTGAAAATATATTTTTTTTACAGTAGATCTCCATTGCAAAGGACTTTTTTAAGATTTCAAAACCTAAAAATGCATAAATGTTTCTGAGGCACCATGCATGCAGATTATTATAATTTCAGCACATCGGATCCAAAGGAAACAAAGATGGTGAAGCGCACGTGGGCCGAAGTTCAGAAACCGGTGAAGACTTGAAAAAGTGAATGTTTCGCTATAACAAAAATCAAGTAACATTAATAACCCGTAATTTTTTTTTTTTTTTACGAATAATATTTATTTGTCTTGTCTGTGTAAAACCAAGGTAATGTTTGATGAACAATATTGTTCAAATAAAAGTTTTTTATGCTTGTTTTATGATTTTGCTTGATGATTTTATGACAAGCCTTAAAAACTAGTTATTTCAGACCGAGGGTCAGAATAGGGGCAAAAAACTTTATTAAAGGAGTAGTTCACTTTTTGAAAAAAACTTTTGCTGATAATTTACTCACCCCTGTGTCATCCAAGATGTCCATGTCTTTCTTTCTTCAGTCGAAAAGAAATTAAGGTTTTTGATGAAAACATTCCAGCATTTTTCTCCTGGACTTCAATGGGAACCAAACGGTTCAAGGTCCAAATGAGAGTTTCATTGCAAACTGTTCAAAGGGCTTTAAACGATTCCAGACGATGAATAAGGGTCTTATCAAGCGAAACGATCGCTCATTTAATAAATAAATAAAAAAGTTTACGTTTTATAAGCTCAAATGCTCGCCTTGCTCTGTGATGAGCGTTCGTGACTCTCTCCTGTTCAAACTCGTACATCAAAATGAACAAATCATTTTTCGAGTCATGACTCAAGGGTCCTAGATAAGATCCTTATTCATCGTCTGGTGTCGTTTAAAGCCCTTTGAAGCTGCACTGAAACTCTCATTTGGACCTTGAACCATTTGGACCCCATTGAAGTCCATTATATGGAGAAAATCCTGGAATGTTTTCATCAAAAACCTTAAAAAAAATGTTAAATTAAATTATCAGCAATATTTATTTTAATTTATTAATTTTAATTTATTAACAAATTTAATTTAATTTAAGTAAATTATCAGCAAAAGTTTTTTTTTTTTTAAAGTGACTCCTTTAACATTACAAGTGAACCTCAAGGAAACTATATATATATATATATATATATATAAACTATATCTGGTGTCTGAATAATTTTTGGTTATTAAAAAATATTTATGTTATTGGTAATATATCCATACAATCAAACCAAAAAATATTCAGACACCTGATATATTTTTGTTATATTTTTTTTTTTTCAAGTGGACACTTTAGTTCATTTATTTCGGTAAGTGAGGAGATCAAAATAAAGTAAACTGAATTCTAAATTGATTTGTGAGACAGTCTAACAGAAGGATGGACAAAATCAGTGAAATATCAACTAATTTGAGTTCTTGTCATATTTTATTACCATTTTATAAACTGTGATAATGGGAATGAGAAATGTTGAAGGTGTCTGAATAAATTTAGGTTATATTTAAATCTATCCCTTTAAAGTTACACACACATTACTGACATTGTTAGGAGGAATCACTCTAATATTTTCATAATTATCTCTCTCAATGTGCACTGGCCAGATTTTTTATTGTTTATCTTTTTCATGAGAGGATTTTGCCTTTGAACTTTCTTGTTCACGGATATTGTTGGTTCAAAAATATTCTTGGTAAACCACAACAATCTTACATGTAATCCACATTGCAATGTCTGAATGCCATTGCACTGACCAACAAATAAACTGAACCAGATGGCATCTGCAAGCAAGTGATGCCAACTTTTTCTGAGCCATATTTGCATTGATTTTATAATCTAGTCCCAAGAATTCATAAGTCGACAGCATTGCTGAGTATTTTCATCTCACTGAGTATTAAAACTGCAGTGAATCAAAGACAGTCTCAAAAACACGCTTTGAAATCGCTGACGTCACAAACGACCTTGTAACCAATCAGATCAACGAGTGATCGTCAACCAGTGGATCTCTGAGTGAGTGAGTGGGGGCGGGGCTCATTTGCATATTGTATTATATACTAAATGTGGCCAGTTTTAAGGGGTACAAATTCACTATAGTGGAATGCGACAAGGTTTATGTTTTGACTCATTTTTTAAGCATACTAACATTTTATTGTGTCACTGCACTTCAATCAACATGCCAAACTAAGAATTCTTCCGCCATTTTCTGTCTTTTTATTGCATAACATCACAAACACTTAATTATGAACTTATAAAATCAAACATATCGTTGATACGCCCTCCCAAAAAAATTCAAAATCATTCAAATATGAATGAAATAATAAGAGAAACACACATTTCCTCTCCTAAAGTGGGATCAATCCCCTTGTTTCTCTCTCATATAAATCTGGAATGTCTCCAACAGGAGAGTTGATCATTCTGACTGTGTTTTCTCCATGTATTTTGCGCTCGTACTCGATGAGCTGCCTCCAGAAGCCGGGGTTCGGTCTGATGATGGGTCTCTGAGCTTTGAGGTGTGTGTGAGCCTCCGCTAGTGTGTGATGACAGTGTTTCATCAGGAACGCCAGACACAGAGACGCGGATCGACTGACGCCTGCGTTACAGTGAACCAGGACTCGTCCATGCTCTTCACAGACCTGCTGTATCTTATCAGCGACTGCGTCAAAATGCTCCGCGAGTCTGGATTCGGGATCATCGGAGACGGACACGCGCATATAATCCATCGTGGGAATGTTCGCGTTTCTTGTGTCCTGAGTAGTTGCATTAATAACACATGTGATGTTGAGAGAGCGTATGACTGAAGAGTCGTTTGCCGTTTTGCCGTTGCCGATGTACAAACAGTCCGTGATCTGAGCGAACCCTCCGAGTCCTCCTGACATGATGTGAACACTGGGAACAAATGTGCAAGATTAATAGTGCAAACGTCATAACTAAACAAGGACACTTTGTTATGGTAAACTTTTATGTGTTGGCTTGACAGACAGACAGACAGACAGACAGACAGACAGATAGATAGATAGATAGATAGATAGATAGATAGATAGATAGATAGATAGATAGATAGATAGATAGATAGATAGATAGATAGATAGATAGATAGATAGATAGATGCTGGACAGACAGATATATATATATATATATATATATATAGATAGATAGATAGATAGATAGATAGATAGAAAGACAGACAGACATAGATAGATAAACAGATCGATAGATGGATGGATGCTGGACAGACAGACAGATATATAGATAGATATATAGAAAGATAGACAGCCGGTGTTCTGACAATTCATGCTACCCATCGAGATTTGCTACTTACCGGTTATGCGCATGTGCAGACTCCGTTTTTTTTTTTTTTTTTACAAAAGGTACATTTTCCTGTTATAATGTATAATTTCCCTTTAAAAAATGCTTACTATCATATGAATATTTGTACGGTCAGCCAGCTGAAAAGGAATAACTGAAAGTTTCAGTTACTATATGAGGAAAGGCGCTTTGACAAGTCAAAGATGAATATTTTATGATAATTTTTACTTTTCACACCGTTTTAAAAATAAAAACAGTAGTCTACAGTATACAGTAGCTACTCATATCTTAGAATTGTATTATAATTCTGTGATCAATTCGCGCTACGGTACCATTTTTCGACAAGGCAGCAAAAATTGGCAGAACACCGGACGGACGGATAAATGGATAGACAGACAAAAAGATATATAGATTTATCTTGAAAACACGTTCACATCAAACACAAAGGCTCGTTCACGTTAGCACAATTTTCATCAAGAGATGTATTTTCCTCTGACTGACACTGACGCACTCTGATGATGTGCTGCTCTTTCTGAATGCTTTCATACACGGTAGTTTTTAATCATGTACGTGTAGTTATCGATAGTTTACGCTGCATTGTAAAGTAGTAATATTTGATTGCTTTAAGTGGGCTGTAATAACTAACTACAAAAAGGGTGTTCAAATATAAGTGAGATTACTCACCTGCGCGCGACTGCTGTCATCAGAGCTCTTCTTCCACTCACTGCGGCTCGAGGACACTGCGCGCTCACAGCGACACCTACCGTCGACCGAGACGCAACAGCTGAACAAAACCTATCGGACGACAATAAATCTGTCTATTTATTTACCTGTCTAAAACCTTAACAAGCAACTCGAATACATTGCACCAAAACAAAATACCATTGTAACTATTTAACTCTATTTATGCTGATTCGATTTAAAAATAACAAGGCGTGGCTTGTACAAGGGTTTGTTGATGCTTTCAGTGATGAAACACACTCAGTTGCTGTCACCGTGGTATTTAACGTTTTATATAAGCTATTTGATTTCTATTCATTGGGATTTGAGTGATTTGGTGTTCCTCCCACATTGACATCAACATGATTCAATTACATGTGTATTATTGTAATAAATTCATTACAACAAACAACAACAAAAGTCTTATTGCACTCACTACAAAAATGACATCCATTTCAGTGGTGTTGGTCCAAGAGGTTCACTGTAAGAAACAAATATCTGTAGAAAATGGAAAATAATGTTCTTTCACGACATTATTCGTTTCAGTTACGGTCGGGCATTTCCTTTCACCTTAAAACACAACAAAATACCTCGAAATATTGGTACCTGTCAAAAAATCTATGTGGAAAATTGCTCTAATCATGGGATCATTTTTTGTGGATTTAGTTTTAATTCATATTCATTCATAAACACTTTCACTAGAAATACAGAATTCAGAAAACGTTGTTATTAGTGACACCTGTGGCTGTTAAGTGAATTGCAGCCAGAAACAAAACAAAAATCTTGCATTTGAAATCATATCGAAGTATGAACTAATCGGGAACTAACTTGTGAAATTATTATTCTTACACTACTAGTCTACATCAAAGACATGATGTGCTGTCCCCATCACCTAAATGTTACCAAAAATGCTTTGTTAAAGTTATGTTCGTGGATATTTCTGTTTATCTGTAGAGATGAAAGATAGCTACCCACTTTAAAAAGTGTGCTTAATTATAGGCCTATTGAATGTTCACTTGTGGTGTACTTTAAATATTAAAAGTTTACTTTTTAAAAAACTGCACTTGCAGATAATATAATAAAAGAGAAATGATATAAGAGTACACTTTCATGACTGTTTCTTCACAAACTTAAAAAAGTACAATATTTTTAATGTACACTTATGTTAATGTGTTGACTAAATTACTAAAGTACGTGTAAAGGACTTGATTATTGTACTTGACATTACATTTAAAGTTAATTTTAAATGTACAAAATTTCAACTTCATCATAACATATGTGTAACAAATATAGTTAAACACATCACATAAAAGTTTCAATATAACACTGAAGTATATTTCAGCTAACCATACATGCAATCGTTTTTGACGGAACATTTAGCAATATACTTTAACCATAGAAGTTATGAAATTACATAAAGTAAAAAACGAGAGCTATTTGCATTTAATATACATTTTTAAATTCCCCCGTAGTCAATAATTTTATCCCTTAAAACTCATCTTTGATCAACAAAATTACATATTTAAACGTTTTTCCCTTTATTTAAAATTCTTCATGCCTTATATCTTGAATGTAACTCGACACCTTCGCCTTATTCAGTATACGCGGTTCTATAAATATGCAAATGAGCCACGCCTCCACTCACACGTTGATCTGACTGGTTACAAGGTACTTTGTGACGTCAACAAATACATTTTTATTTAATTGCAATTAACATGCATTTGTAAAGCATTACATTAGTTCACACCCAAGTACATTATTTTAAAGTGTAGCTATTATTTCTGTAATAAGTACTCTTTTTAAAGTGTATTTCTTTTTCATAAGTCTATACATTCAGTCCCATATAGAGTATTTGGAAAGAATTGTTTTAATTTGATTGTTTGTTCCAGTTGAATCAAAAATGATGTCCTTCTTTACAAATAACACATTTTTAAAACATTAGTTTAGACTTTAATTAGTTTTACAATCGAAATCTAAAGTTTTTACAAACAAACTTGGTTTCCCTGGTTACGCCTGACGGTTTATTTAGCAACCGGAGACATTTAGTCCGCTGCCTGTTGCTATGGTTACACACAGCTGATGTAGCCAGCGCATTGAACAGTCAGTTTCACCAGAACTCCTTTACTAGGTGTCCTCTATCACTTTTTAATGTACACCCTGCAGCAGCCAATCAGTATCGAGTATTATTCACCCAGACCATGGTATAAAAGTGTTATTGATTTCGCTTATAAAAGGTCTGATTATGCATAACCTGTCCAAAGCATCCTTTGAGGTTGGGATGAAAGAAAGTTCATCTCTCTGTTATAGGTTACAGGCTCGGTTGTTCTTGCGCTCCTTTTGAAGATCAGAGGAAACACACTTCTGAAGGCCTTCCTAAAGTTGGCTCCCATGAATGCGTAGATCACGGGATTTATGGAGGAATTGGAATAGGACATGCAGTGAGCCCAGATCTTGAGTTTGTAGAGTGTATAACTGTGACTGACATCTTCAGAACAGAATGCTTGAAAGAGAATCAGGATCTGAATTGGACCCCAGCAGAATATAAACAGCAGAACCATCACAACCACCATTCTGGAGACTCTGGTCCGCACGGCCTCCACTCGCTCCGCTGGAGTCTGCAGCTGGAAAACAAACACCATCAGACACGTCAGGGTTTATTATGGGTCATATATAGTCAAAACTACATTTATTCAGACAGCTTCAACATCTCTCACATTATCACAGTTTTAGAAAATGGTAATAAGAACTCTGATACTGAGTTATGAACTCAGTTGATATTCCACTGGTTTTGTCCGTCCTTCTGTTAGACTCCTTCTGCTAGTAAAACAAATATATAAAAATATGTATATATATATATATATATATATATATATATGGTGTCTGAATATTCATAATTTTCTTCAACACTGAAAACTTGTTTCCTCAATTTAATTGAGTAATTGGGTCTCTCAAAACTTGGGTATTTAAGTTCACTTAACGTGGTGCTCATGCCGACTAAAATTGCTAAGTTTACTCTGTGTTCATAGTGTACTAAAATAGCTGTTTTCACTTAACTCGGTGTTCATTTAGTGTACTTACAGAATTAAGTTCACTTAACTTGGTGTTCATATAGTTTACTTACAGAATTAAGTTCACTTAACTTGTTTACAGTGTACTTACATAATTAAGTTTACTTAAATTGGTGTTCACATAGTGTACTTACAGATTAAGTTTACTTAACTTGGTGTTCACATAGTGTACTTACAGATTAAGTTTACTTAACTTGGTGTTCACATAGTGTACTTACAGAATTAAGTTCACTTAACTTGGTGTTCACATAATGTACTTACAGAATTAAGTTCACTTAACTTCTTCACAGTGTACTTACAGAATAAAGTTAACTTAACTTGCTCACAGTGTACTTACAGAATAAAGTTTACTTAAGTTAGTGTTCATATAGTGTACTTACAGAATTAAGTTCACTTAACTTGGTGTTTACATAGTGTACTTACATAATTAAGTTTACTTAACTTGGTGTTCACATAGTGTACTTACAGAATTAAGTTCACTTAACTTGGTGTTCACATAATGTACTTACAGAATTAAGTTCACTTAACTTCTTCACAGTGTACTTACAGAATAAAGTTTACTTAACTTAGTGTTCATATAGTGTACTTACAGAATTAAGTTCACTTAACTTCTTCACAGTGTACTTACAGAATAAAGTTAACTTAACTTGCTCACAGTGTACTTACAGAATAAAGTTTACTTAACTTGGTGTTTACATAGTGTACTTACAGAATTAAGTTAACTTAACTTGGTGTTTACATAGTGTACGTACATAATTAAGTTTACTTAACTTGGTGTTCACATAGTGTACTTACAGAATTAAGTTTACTTAACTTGGTGTTCACATAGTGTACTTACAGAATTAAGTTCACTTAACTTGGTGTTCACATAATGTACTTACAGAATTAAGTTCACTTAACTTGCTCACAGTGTACTTACAGAATAAAGTTTACTTAACTTAGTGTTCATATAGTGTACTTACAGAATTAAGTTCACTTAACTTGGTGTTTACATAGTGTACGTACATAATTAAGTTTACTTAACTTGGTGTTCACATAGTGTACTTACAGAATTAAGTTTACTTAACTTGGTGTTCACATAGTGTACTTACAGAATTAAGTTCACTTAACTTGGTGTTCACATAATGTACTTACAGAATTAAGTTCACTTAACTTCTTCACAGTGTACTTACAGAATAAAGTTAACTTAATTTGTTCATAGTGTACTTACAGAATTAAGTTTACTTAACTTGGTGTTCATATAGCGTACTTAAGTGCACTTAGCGTTATAATGCAGAAATGTAACACCACAGTACCTGGTTACAGCCATGAGCAGGTTCCACCGTGGCTTGACCCATGCGTTTGAGCATGAAAGTGTAACACATGCAGATGGTGATCAGAGGCAGCAAGTAAACAGCCAAGAAGGAGTAAAGAATATAAGCTCTCTTATGAACGAGTGAAGGAAAGGCCTCGGTGCAGTACGTCTGCGGACCGAACCAGAACGAAGACTCGGTGTGCTGATACAACGCGATCGGCACTGAAAGCAGCAGAGAACCTGCGTGAAAAGATATGAATATAATCATTTATTTTACCAATAGGCAATAAAAACTATGAAAATAAAAGCCATTCATTCAAAATAACCCTTTCATACATATCCAAATAGTGGTGCATGCAGTCAGAGCCGTCTGTGGTGTTCGATGATGGAGAGACTGGAGTGGGTAGACCGTCACATAAAACCGATCCACACTCATTGCAGACAAAGTGATGCAGGTTGCCTGAGCAGTGACCTGAGATCAGTCAAAGACACACACACCTAGATCACACATTCAGCATATACTGTACGGTTTAGGCAAGAACAGTTTAGATAGATGTGCAACCATTCAGTTATACAGGTAAAACTCAAAAAATTAGAATTCTGTGCAAAAGTTCATTTCAGTAATTCAACTTAAAAGGTGAAACTAATATATAGAGTCATTACATGCAAAGTGAGATATTTCAAGCCTTTATTTGTTATAATTTTGATGAGTTTCAATTTATGAAGTTTTTCATAAGCTTTAAACCATAATCATCAAAATTATAACAATTAAAGGCTTGAAATATCTCACTTGCATGTAACGAGTCTATGTAATCAATTAGTTTCACCTTTTAAGTTGAATTACTGAAATTAATTAACCTTTGCACGATATTCTAATTTTTCAATTTTCACCTGTAAATAAGGCTCCACAACTAGACATTATGGAAGATATTAAGTCAACTACATGATCACAAAGTTAAGTGAACTTACTAGCAATTAAGGTTCAGTTTACAATAACACTAAGTGAACTTAATTCTGTAAGTATGTTATATGAACAAGTTAAGTCAAATTAATTCTGTAAGTACACTGAATGAATACCAAATTAAGTGAACTTAATTCTGTAAGTACGCTATATGGACACTGAGTTAAGTGAACTTAATTCTGTATGTACATTAAATGAGCACCAAGTTAAGTGAACTTAATTCTGTAAGTATGCTATATAAACAAGTTAAGTCAAATTAATTCTGTAAGTACACTGAATGAACACAGAGTTAAGTGAATTTAATTCTGTAAGTATGCTACATGGACACCGAGTTGAGGGAACTTAATTCTGTAAGTACGCTAAATGAATATCAAGTTAAGTTAACTTAATTCTGTAAGTACACTGAATGAACACCAAGTTAAGTGAACTTAATTCTGTAAGTACATTAAATGAGCACAGAGTTAAGTGAACTTAATTCTGTAAGTACGCTATATAAACAAATTAAGTCAAATTAATTCTGTAAGTACACTTAATGAACACTGAGTTAAGTGAACTTAATTCTGTAGGTACACTGAATGAAGACCGAGTTAAGTGAACTTAATTCTGTAAGTACGCTAAATGAACAGCAAGTTAAGTGAACTTGATTCTGTAAGTACACTGAATGAAAAAGTACGCTGAACACCAAGTTAAGTAAACTTAATTCTGCAAGTACTCTAAATGAACACCAAGTTACGTGAACTTAATTCTGTAAGTACACTATATGAACACCAAGTTAAGTGAACTTAATTCTGTAAGTACACTATATGAACACCAAATGAAGTAAACTTAATTCTGTAAGTACCAGGGACGTGCACAGGGGGGTTGCTCAGGTTGCCCGGGCAACTGCCCATATGCCCTTCTCGACTCAGGTTGCCCTTCCGAGGAAAAAAAAATCGTACAATGGATGTAGAATTTCACGTAGGCCTAGACAACAAAATAATATAAAAATCGCAAAGCCTCATTCACTTCCATTCGGGCACTGAAAGGGAAAGTCAAACTGTTTACGTGGCTGCAGTGCCGCACGCGACCATAGACTGCATGGCACCGCAAATTACTCAGGCCGCGCCTCCATCTCGTGTCGCGCGCTAATTAATGTGTACGAAGTCCATGACAAAATGAAGCGAAACTATCCTTCTCGTCACGAAAAGAGGAAGGAGAAAAACATGAGAGTGAATTGCGGGAACAGCAGTCAGGTAAACTTGTGTTCTCTCCTCTCTAGTTTGATGTCAGCAAAGTTTGATGGTTTTTGGTCTTGCTAACCTATCTGGGCAGGCAGTGCATGCATCACTTTTTGCCTGACAAAGGTGAGAGTAAAATACCATTATTTATTACGTTTTGCTTTTTATAAATGACAAAGTGCAACAACAGTGTTTGTTTACTACAGCTCGGAAAACATAACCGCGTCGCGTGTGTTGCGTTCATATGCGCGTGCACGAAATGAAACTCGCATTTTTCAAGCAGAAATGTGGAGACCAGAAATACTGTCAATACGTGAATGATGGCACTCCCAATCAAAGTACACATTATAAAGACACTGATTATCTAGTCTCAGTGTAGTTAAAAACTCTAAACAACTGCACTAATTATGCAAGATATAAAGCAATGTATTGGCAATTTGACATTGATTGATTATTGATTTATAGGCTATATTGAATTTAAAATGATGATTAGCTGGACATTCTGGTCAATATGAATGCAAATCCCTCAGTAAATAACAATAAATCAAGATTTGCTTCAACATGCATAAAAAAAAATAAATAAATAAAAATCATAGGCTGCTGATTCCGAAAATACCCAGGCTGTAGAGTGAAACAAAATTAATCCCAAAAGCCAAAGTTCAGGGTTGTACTTTATTATTTTCTTCTTATTTATGTTTACGTTAATATTCACTTGTTATCTTAACATCCTATAAAAATGCTTTATTCAGTAAATATTGTTTGTTTGATCCTCATTCTGTTCTATATTGTTGTACTTATTCTTTGACTGTTTTGTTTAAAGGAGGGAGGATTGTATTGGGCGGTATTGAGTGGCAATGGCAAATGGTTTACATGGCTCACGGCATCACAGATCAGGTAGAGGGCCCCATAGCAGAATTTTGCTTAGGGCCCCAGGGGGAAGTCAGGATTGGCAAAAAAGGATTGTATTTTTTCCTGAAATCTAAGCGTTTTTTTATTTTTTCGAGTTTTTCCCATTCAATCCAGATTATTTCTTTTCAAATAAATAAATAAAAATAATTCAAAAAAAGAATAAACAACAATATGAGGAACTCTTTTGCTTATTTGTCTCATCTCTGACATTTTGCAATCTTTATAAATAATAATAAGACCATAAGATGAGGCATTGCGTTTGGACATAAACACGGCCAGATAAGGCAATTTGGAAGGTGACAAATTCAACTGAATATATTCCTTCATATAGCCCGTGAGGGGGGAGGAGGAGGGGGGTGCCCTTTTTTCAGGTCAGAGCAACTGCCCCTCAAAATTCCTGTGCACGTCCCTGGTAAGTACACTATATGAACACCAAGTTAAGTGAACTTAATTCTGTAAGTACACTATATGAACACCAAGTTAAGTGAACCCAACAATTTAAGTACACTATGAACACAGAGTAAACTTCAGTCGACATGAGCACCACGTTAAGTAGCCATTCAGTTATAAATGCATTTTGCCCATATTTCTGCTCAAATAAGATACTGTAATGTATTCATATATCATTGGTCTTTATTTACAATATCGCATTTCATGCATTACATTTTCCCCCTCCCCTACATGGAAAAAATTCTACACAGTAAAAACGCTCTCACCTGTTGCAGATAATTGACCAGCCGACACATGAAGTCCCCAAATATCCAGCTAGGAAGAGTGTATAAAGTGGCAGTGAAAGGAACACAACAAACCAGGAAAAGTATATCTGTGGTTGCAAGATTAACTGAAGAGAAAGAGAGTGTTTATTAAAACAATGACAGAAGCACTGTACATGCTATTCTGAGAAACAAACCTTTCATACCTATGTAGAGGTTTGTAACCGTTTTCATCTGCTGGTTTTTGACGACGACATAGATGACCAAAAAGTTCCCCACCAAGCCTACAAACATGATGAGGGTGAAGAACACTGGGACCAGCCAGGCGTCCACCAGCGGCATCGGGCTTTCAGATCTCATGGGATCTGACTGATTACAATCATAAATCTTTGCTTGATTACTGCACAAGATGAGTTGTGGAGCCTCGTTGGTCCTGTTACTTTCTGCCATTATAGAGATGCGTCACCATGCTAGTAATAACCTGAAACGCAAAAACACAGGTTCTCACTGGGTTTTGTGCATTTACATGAACATGGTTTTTAGTTCAATTGCATTAAATGGCATGCATTAAAATAACATGTAAACTTAAGTTCACTTAGCTTGGTGCTCATGTGACTCTACTTAAACTACCAAGTTCACTTAACTTGTGTTCATATAGTGCACTTCGAGTTAAGTGAACTTGCTGTATGTCTTTACACTGTAAAAAATATTGTTGGTTTAACTTAAATTTAAAATTAAGTAACCTGGTTGCCTTAAAATTTTAAGTTCATTGAACTGGAAAAAGTGAGTTAATACAATGAAGGAGACTGATCTAATCATCAGAAACTCAAAATAATAAGTTATCTGAACTAAATAAATTATTTAAGTTGATTTGACAAAAGAAAAAATGTTGTGATAACAAATCTTTCACTTAAGAATTAAGTTCACTTAACTTGATGCTCATGTAGATTACTTCAATGAATTGAGTTCACTTAACATGTTTCATATAATGCACTTAAACTGCCAAGTTGACTAAACTTGTTGTTCACAGTGTGCTTCAATTGGTAAGTTCACTTAACTTGGTGTTAGTGAACACATACATTTCAATAGCATGCATTAAGTCTTCCAATATCAATGTTCAGAGCAAACTTGCACAGTGAGATCATATTGTTTACATATCATCATAATAACTAATGAGTATAATCATCATATATCAGTTAAACAAAGATAATACGGAGCAAAAATCATATGTTAACAACATATCTTTGTTTTTTTCTCTGGTTTATACTTACGAGTGAAACAAATTCAGTGGAGTACGAAAAAACACTTATTAAAGTTGCATTATATGAAAACAGGTCTCAATATCTTCATATTTCAAGTAAATGTGTCATGTTATCATTAGATATATTTATTAGATAACAATGTAAAGACTGATTAAACCTTTTTAGAAGATATTTTGGTAGTGTCACTTAATTTTATTTACATACATGTTACTATTATCAGAAAATTATGCATAATTATTAACAACTAACCCCTAAATCAGTTACACTGTTACGATGTCCATATTACAGTATAGCTATAATTAATTTACTGATTAATATTAGTTAACAACATGAAGTTACAATAGGATTAGGGTTTGTTGATGCATAATTTTCTGTTATAACAAGGACACTTTAAAATAAAGTGTAACCCCTAAATTATACACTAACCCTATAGTTAGTTGTGTTTTCACACTGTAACAACGGCAACTTAAAATGTGTGCACATTAAACAGTCAAACTATCAAATAGACCTAAATGCATCACACAGAGTCTACAATTTCTTAAACACATATTGCTCTTTCCCAAAATTTTAAGAGAAAAATAAATAAATAATAACATGCAATATTAGCTTACCTCTTTTAAGTACTTTTGCTCTTATTAGAAAGAAAAGATTCTTCGTAAACCATCCATCAGTCCAATGTAAAGCTAAATCTTTGAGTCTGTGTGGAGATCTCACCGTGCAGTGACGTCACTCGAGCACGCGCGCGCACGCGCAGGGAGGAGCAAAACAGCACGCGCTGTGCGACTCTGCAAAAAGGCCTTTTAACACTCATTTACACCATTTGTTTTATACAAGGATTTAACTTTATTTTCATGCTACTAAATGTTTTTTTGATATTGGCACTTTTAGCTAGAGTTCAGAGACTAGTGAATCATGTAATATTGACCTGGTTAACTGCAAAATGAACTGCAAAATGACAGCTTACTATATTTCGATAAGCCATGAGCCGATAAACATTATAAAAATTAAATATGCACAGCTGGCCCAGGAATAATATTAGATCACAGCATTATATGTAAGATAAATTCACTCAAAATCTTACTCATGTCAGGAGCTTCATTGGATTTCTCATCATGGATTTTGTTTGAATTCATTACTCAAATTAAACAGCTTGTAAACGTTAGTTATCACTAGAAATAAAAGCTTAAATAACCCGTTAAACTTTAAAGTATAATCTCTGCACACTTGCCTCATTATACGTGATTCTATGAATATGCGAATGAGCCCCGCCTCCACTCACTCACTCAGAGATCCACTGGTTGATCTGATTGGTTACAAGGTCGTTTGTGACGTCAGAAACACCAGAGATTTCAAACTGTGTTTTTGAGACTGTCTTCAGTTCACTGCAGTTTTAATCAATACTGTCGACTTATGAATTTACACGTTTTGTCTTATTAAAAGCATATTAAAAACACCACAGACACATAAACAACATTAAAAGCTGGATTTTCACTACAAGGGACTCGAAGGCCTATATTGACCTCTTTTTCCCTAAGGCTGAATACTTGATAGTGGGAATAATTTAGTCTTGCTTTTATTAAGCTTTAACCCAGCTGTGTAAATATGTCTTAATTCACAAAGATCATGCTGTGATTTTTTGCGAAGTGGTTCACCTTACCTTTATGTCGGTCCAAACCTGTAGCCTATAACGGTTTCTTCTGTTGAACACGAACGAAGATATTTTGATCATTTGTTTTTGTTCATGCAATGAAAGTCACTGGACCCCAATGACTTTCATTGTATGGACAAAAAACACAGACATCAGGTGTGTTTGATAACCGGTCGGTGAGATTTGCTGCTTGTAGTCGACGAGGAGTTGAAAACTTTGACACTTGCTGCTTCCTGAAGTTTGTGTACTTTATCACAGATTAAAAAAAATGTCAAATACACAGATGTTTTCACGAAGAAACAGAAACCTTGAATACTTTGTATTGCTAGATCGTTTCCCAGCACTTTGTGTTCAAAGCAGTCCGAATCCTGCATCAAAAATGGAGGTCACTGCTACTAGATTCAATCCCATAATGCACCACAATAACGAATGTACAGCCAGAGAATGTCTAACCGATGTACACTCAACGGCTAGAGATTACCCATAATGCACTGTGAGGGTTGTGCTGAATGAATTCTCGTGACAATCAGAAGATTTGAGGCAAAGAGGTTAGAAAGTGGTTAATTTTGTACAAAAATATTTATCAGAGGATGTTTACAACAACATACATTTGTAATATCAATGATGTCAGATGATGTCATACATTTGTCAGATCAATTATTGTTTTCTGTATGAGCCACATTTAGTCAAACATCATCGGAATAACATTTTCAATTGATTTTTGGCCATTTTATTTGGCCCATCACTGATTTATCTATCTCTATATCTATATATCACATCATATACCTATATATCTATCTATATCCATCTCTATCTATCTATATGTATATATCCATCTCTATCTATCTACCTATCTACCTATCTACCTATCTATCTATCTATCTATCTATCTATCTATCTATCTATCTATCTATCTATCTATCTATCTATATATGAAGAGTTCAGATGCAAAAGCCTCTAAATGCCATTTGAAATTTTCTTCTTTAATGATGATTTTTATCAAACTTGTATATTTAAGTTCAGTAATTTCACTTAAATAATAATTAATAGGTATTTATCATTGCCATATAAGTGAAATTACTGAACTTAAATATACAAGCTTGATAAAAATCTTCATTAAAGAAGAAAATTTCAAATGGCACTTAGAGACTTTTGCATCTGAACTCTTCATATATATATAGATATATATATATATATATATATATATATATATAGATAGATAGATAGATAGATAGATAGATAGATAGATAGATATCCATCTATAAAAGGTTTTTGTGATTGACACAAAAAGTGTTTTCAGATTTACAATATACCAAAATATATTTAATAACCTTATGTAATTGTTTCCCAAACTGTGCATTACATCAATTTAGCTTGTTACATTTAAAAAAAAAAATCATGATATTACTAACTTATTTGCATACTTACTAAATGACTGACAAAATGTCATCTAACATAGACAACATTATGTGCGATCCCTTCCATTTCTTTTTCCCCAGGAATGAAAACGCTGCAATGTTTTAAAACACATTTCTTTACTGCAGTCTGTAGTGAAAACAAATCATACCAACAACAACTTGGTTTCAGCTAGAGATATACAACAGACTACAGGATGACCATGGAAAAAGGTCTGCAATTTAATACAAAAAGATGTTTTGCAATCATATGCCTAATAACAATTATAATGAACAGTACAAAAGTGAGTAAAATGTCAGCACTTGCTATTGGGAGTCTTGTAAATTTGTCTTTTCTTCAATGGCCTGTTTGACAATTTCAGCCAGCTTTAAGCGATCTACTCTGTCTGAAAAAGATCTACCTGTGATGAAAGACAAACAGAAAACAGATTGGAAATGTGCTTGATTGATCCATCAATTCATCCAGAAATTATGGCCTTTGAGATGAATCATATTATCAAATTACAGGGGAAACTCGAAAAATTTGAATATCGTGCAAAAGTTCATTTATTTCAGTAATTCAACTTAAAAGGTGAAACTAATATATTATACAGACTCATTACATGCAAAGTGAGATATTTCGAGCCTTTATGTGTTATAAATTTGATGATTATGGTTTACAGCTTATAAAACCTTTTCACAATATTCTAATTTTGACTTTAGGGTTTTCATAAGCCATAATCATTAAAATTATAACAAATAAAGGCTTGAAATATCTCACTTTGCATGTTATGAGTCTATATAATATATTAGTTTCACCTTTAAAGTTGAATTACTGAAATAAATGAATAAATATTCAAATATTTGTTTCAAAGTTTCACCCGTAATTGGCCAAGGATGGAAATAAAATGAAGTAAAATCATTACTTGACACAAAATAATCTAAGAAAAAGCACCTTAAAGAATACATAAAGGAAGATCAGAGATCAGCTCTGATGCTGTATTTAATTTATTACACTGAACTAAATCCTACAATCTAAGCTTTATTTTATTAGTAATCAAAATAATTAGTGATTCAAACGAAAGCTGTTGATATGAGCACTTACCTCAAATTCACACAGTTTCAGTTTACTGTAAAAGTACTGATCTGACCAACCACAGATAGCGTCTAGTAAACACCTACCATCCCAACTTAACCCTTGCAATCCATCTCGGAGGAGCTTGCAATCTCGATTGAAGCGCCACGCTTCATGCATAACTTCATTTAACTTCTCATCCTCATTGTCACCTGTGAAAACAACAAAAAGATATTATTATAAGTACTAGAATTGACGGTTGGTTTTTTTCTTAAAGGGATACTCCACTTTTTTTGGAAATAGGCTCATTTTACAACTCCCCCAGAGTTAAACAGTTGAGTTTTACCGTTTTCGAATCCATTCAGCCGATTTTCTGATATTTAGAAGAATATCACAGTTTCTGGTCTCATTGACTTCCATAGTATATTTTTTTTCCTACTATGGAAGTCAATGAGACCAGAAACTGTCTGGTTACTGATATTCTTCTAAATATCAGAAAATCGGCTGAATGGATTCGAAAACGGTAAAACTCAACTGTTTAACTCTGGGGGAGTTGTAAAATGAGCCTATTTCCAAAAAAAGTGGAGTATCCCTTTAAGGCAGCTTATAGAGTCACACACACCTAAAGGATTATTAGGAACACCTGTTCAATTTCTGGCAATGTAAAAGTAAACTTTCCATTCAGAATCTTATTGGCATCTATTTCGGCGTTTCGTGCTCGTCATCCACTCAAAACGTGACGTTAACCAACTATTTGGCCGGCTCGCAAGCCCAAACGAGTGTGTGCGGCGTAGCTAGATCCGCTTGCGCTTTGGTCGACGAAGCAACAAAACGTCCTCGCGTGGCACAATCCATTGAAATTAATGGATTTCATAGCGCAGTTGCAAAAGCATGTGGAAAAAAAAACTACAAAGTTTGCTAGGCCAAAAAGACTGTTAAAGGGTTAGTTCACCCAAAAATGAAAATTCTGTCAGTATTTACTCACCCTCATGTTGTTTCAACCCCGTAAGACCTTCGTTCATCTTCGGAACACAAATTAAGATATTTAAGATATTAAGATCGCTCCTGCATACTAGTCCATAGGCTTCTTGAGGGACTGGCTCTTGCTGTCCTCGAAAAGTCATTAAAGACATCGTTAAAATAGTCCAAGTGACTACAGGGGCTCAATCTTAAGTTTATCAAACGACGAGAACGCTTTTGTGCACAAAAAAACAAAAATAACGACTTTATTTCAACTATCACTTCCTTCTCCATGAGCCTGTAAGTCAGTTAACGTAGTGTGATTGCGTAGAGCTACGTCACACGTAGGCTCACTATTGGCCGACGCTGGTCATGTGTGTGTGATGCGTGTGACGTACAATAACAGAAGCTTACGCTAATAAACTAGTAACCTGACTCGCGCAGAGGGAGAAATAAACGAATAGTTGAAATAAAGTCGTTATTTTTGTTGTTTTTTTGTGCACAAAAGCGTTCTCGTCGTTTGATAAACTTAAGATTGAGCCCCTGTAGTCACTTGGACTATTTTAACGATGTCTTTAATGACTTTTCGAGGACAGCAAGAGCCAGTCCCTCAAGAAGCCTATGGACTGTATGCAGGAGCGATCTTAATATCTTAAATATCTTAATTTGTGTTCCGAAGATGAACGAAGGTCTTACGGGGTTGAAACAACATGAGGGTGAGTAAATACTGACAGAATTTTCATTTTTGGGTGAACTAACCCTTTAATCTCACAATTTAAAAAAAAAAAAATAATAAATAAAAAAAAAAAAAATCAATGACAATTTTTCACAGACGAAAACTAAATAAAAACTAATTTTGAATGACAAAAATTCGTTGACATTCGCGCGAGGACTGAACTGAGCTCTCCTTATGAATGGACAATGTCTGAATGGACAAACACACAACATTATGTCTAAATGTCCGTTTTAGACAGTATTCATGTAAACTATGTCGGTTATGACTTAAACGGTTGTGAGTGTATCGGATGTGCATCAGTGCAATTGGATCCGACGTCTTAAAGTGATAGTGGCATTAAACATAATGCGGTCTGTGTCCTTAATATTGATCAAGCAGCAAAAGAAAAAGAGAAAAGCATTCACGGTTTGTTAATAGCTTTAGTATAATAAGGATTAATTATATTTAATTTCTACAAATAAATATTTCTGCTCGAAAGAATAAAGAATGATTTATGCAATTAGTTATAAAAAAAATGCATATATCATTCAAAAGACTGTGTTGTACTTTAGGAAAAATGGTTTTATTTAATTTTAAGATATTTTTCAAGTCACAGTAGTTAAATCCGTATCTGTATTGCATGTTCAGACTTTTAAATCAATCATATTAACAGGTTAATAGATGTTTTCTTCGGGAGTATATGGGTTTGTACATTTTATTCTCTTCTAAATTCTAAATTAATGCATTGCAATTGAACTAAACCCATTATATTTTAGTCAACTAAATCTACAGTTGATTTAGTCGACTAAAATCATATTGAATTTCGTTGGCTAAAACTAAAACAATTCAGATGGCTAAAATATGACAAACTAAATGGCATTTTAGTCAAAAGACTAAAACTAAAACACTGGTGGAGGCGGGGCTCATTTGCATATTCATAGCACCACACATACTAAATGAGGCAAGGGTGTCGAGTTACATTCAAGCTATTTTAAGGCAGGAAGATGCTTTTTTCCCCCAAGGGAAAAAACATTTAAATATGTCATTTTGGTTCTACAACAATTATTGACTGTACTTTAAATTTCCAGTAGCATCTGAGTTTTTACTTGGGCAGAAATGAAATGTTTATTGCTTGTTTTCCTATTTGAACATTTATCTTCTGTCTCAGTCTTGTGGAAAGAATAACCTGAGGATTGGAGACACCACATACCAACAATGTCCAGCAGCAGAAGTGTGTGTGTGTGTGTGAGTGGAGTGTGTTCGTACGTACCAGCCTGTGGTAAGATGCACTGTGCGATTACATCCCTTAGTTTTTCCAGAGCCACGTTGGTGTCCTCTGCCTCGTTCTCTGGATCATTGATGAAAAGTTCATCACTAGGTTTGGTGCTGCATGAGGCAGAAATTAAGCATGTATCTATAAGTGAATCCCATTAAAGGGTTAATTCACCCAAAAATTAAATTTACTCACTCTCATGTCATTTCAGACCCATAAGACTTTTGTTAGCCTTCAGAACACAAATGAAGATATTTTTCATGAAATCTGAGATTTCAGTTCCTCCATTCAATATTTGAAAACCTATTTTGATTAATTCATTTAATAAGATCAGCGTACAATAGAAAAAGCTCAACCATACTTCCTCAATGCAAAAGAATAAATCTGAATACTGTAAATATTGTTTGCTGATGTGAATAAAAGTCTAAATTAAATCTTTTATCAGAAAAAGCGATGGTGTCTCTTCAGAAGACTTGATTTCTTAGACAATCTCTTTATGAATGTTTTGAATTGCCAGGGTTTTCAATATCTTTATCATAATTTGAGTCCCGAAGATGAATTTAAAGGAGTAGCTCACTTTTCCAAGATGTCCATGTCTTTCTTTCTTCAGTCGAAAAGAAATTAAGGTTTTTGATGAAAACATTCCAGGATTTCTCTCTATATAATGGACTTCAATGGGGACCAAACGGTTCAAGGTCCAAAAAAAAACTTTAAGTACAAACTGCAAACTTGTTCAAAGGGCTTTAAATAATTCCAGACGATGAATAAGGGTCTTATCAAGCAAGAATGAAAGTGTCTTTTGGACCTTGATCCGTTTGGTTCCCATTGAAGTCCATTATATGGAGAAAAATCCTGGAATGTTTTCATCCAAAACCTTAATTTCTTTTCGACTGAGGAAAGAATGACATGGACATCTTGGTTGACATGGGGGTGAGTAAATTATCAGCAAAAGTTTTTTGAAAAGTGAACTACTCCTTTAAGTCTTATAGCTTTGGAACGACATGAAGGTGAGGAAATAACAGAATTTGCATATTTGGGTGAACTATCCCTTTAAGGATTCCCTTTCCCAACAAGTAAATGCAAACCACTGTCACGACTAGTGATTATTTTCAATTAACTGAACAGTGATACTCACCCAAGTAGCTTTCTCTTTCTCAAAATGGGGTTGTTCACAGAGTTGAGTGGCTTTAGACTGAGATTGAGGTCTTGTATCCTCATGTTGGCCAGTTGCTCAGCGTGTGCCTGTTGGATTCCAGCCACAACCGCCTGAATGAACAATAAATAACTAATATATTTATTAAGCACAAACAGTAACAGCATGCATACAAGTAGTGCAGCAGTGGATTCTGATGCATTGCACCGCTTTGTTGAGTTCAGATTTTAACTTCTGCCACATCTCAAATAACCTTGAGAAGAACCATACTGGGAACACTGGAAGTTATTAAACTAAGCTGATCTAAATTGAGCTGAATAATAAGACTTGTGTCAACTGTAGAGCTGCTTTATTGATGAATTGAATGCGTTTCAAGAGTGTCAATGTTGAAATTGCATTCGTTCCATAACTGATGATTTTTCCTGTTTATTTCTGTGATGCTGCTTTGAAAGAATCTGTGTTGTATAAAGCGCTATATAAATAAATGTGAAATTTAAAACCCTGGCATAAATTCAAATAGTGTGGGAATACCAGTAACACTCGTAAACGCCTGTATCGTGCAACGGTTGGGTTACAGAAGTAAAAACGCCACTCTTTTTCTCCATAGGGAACTTGGTTTAACAATGACCTTTAAAGTCAACTATGAGGTTGTCAATCGATGGTTTTTTCAGCTGTTGGAGGCGGCATTATTTCAGCATATTTTACATACAGCAGAATTTGTGGTGAAAAACTACATTATTCATCACCTCAGCCTATATCATCAGGGTTTTTTTGTGTCTGATTTTCAAAGTTTGTAATGTTATGATTCACCTCGTAACTTATAATAACGCTTTATCAAAGACTCTTGAAACCCATATGGGAGAAATGAATGGAAAAAAAATACTTCAGTAACCAACGCCACTGAAAAAGTGCACAAATGCACTCTATTCCAGAGCTGGAGTTATAAAATAAATAAAAAATTTTATAAGTCTATATATAAATGAATAAAAAAAAAACAGCTCAGTTCTGATTCCTGCACACAAAAAAAAGTTAAGCAAATATCAAAGCTTCCACAAAAATCAGAGTGTGCAAATAACCAGGACAATCATATGCTTTAATAGCCGCGTTTCCACTGCCGGGCTAGGGCTGGGCCAGAGCTAACAGCGAGCCGGGCCGAGCTAGTGGCCTCGGGCCTCAAGCACCGGGCTTGCGTTTCCACTGCCGGGCCAGTAGCCCCACAGCGCTGCCCCAGACCCCACCCCTAACACGCCTTTCAGGATCAAACGTCATAAAACCCAACCCATTTCAGCGGGTATTATGAATTAATTTATTTTTTAAATTAGGAAGATAGCATGTATATTAACTCAACTACGGTAGTGGCTGCAATAGTGTCCCGAGACCAGTACAGGCGATTCTCCATTTCAAGCAGCGATTTTTTTTGCGCGATATAACAAGTAGGGCTGCGGGCACGTTTTCAAGTTATTCATTAATCGTTAACCGAGGCCCATCGGTTAATACTCGATGCATAGTGTGCGCGCCGCAACCTCGAGATACAGATTTTTTAACACCTTTAATAACTGATTGGACCCCATTTGAAACGAAATTAATTTATAGAAATAAAACGCAGCAAGTACGGAGCAGTTAAAGCCCCATTTCCACCACCCTTCAAACTGAAATTGCCAATTGAAAATAAGCAAAACGTCTATTTCACAAAAACTCCGTGTCTGCAAATAATAATAATAATAATAACCATCATCATCATTATTGTAACATTTTATTAGGCTGCATATGTAGAAGACGCCTTTATCCAAAAAAGGAACAGAGCACAAATAAACACAATATTTTTGACAAATATCAGCGCATATCCAGTGTGTGCGAGACGCCCATGTAAACACTTGCAGTTTCATTGCATTTCTTTCAGTGGAAACAACTTAAAATACTCTTTCATTTCTGGTCATACAGAAAATAATAATACATTATTCGCAAATAAATTTATTTATAACAAGAAAACGTTGTGCTTTAACAATTAATCAAGGCGCGCTTCATGATCTCCGTGAACTGAAGCGCGAGACCTGAAACAGCCACGGCATTCGAATTTGTTCGTTTTAAATTGGACATTTAAAGCTTAAGTCTACAGGGGTTATATCCTTTGTAGATTAAAGCTTTAAATGTGCAATTTAAAAAGAACAAATTCGAATCGAAAGCCAATATCTTCTATGTTTATGTAGCTTAATTTCTCTCTAAATGTGCATCCGGAGATGGAGATATGTTTTTAGCCGAAAATCATTTAGAAAACAATAGTTTATTAATAAACAATTAATGCCTCGTTATTTTATATTATTTTATTATCAGACACATTTATTATAGCCTATAAATCACCCATAAATCCCCTTTCTGTAGGCTGTGGTTACGGCTCTTCTCATTCAGCACTGCGGGGAAAATATCATTTCCAGGTTCTAATTTGGCCACAGAAAACCAGTAAAATATATATTTTTTTCATATTAATTTGTCAAATATTTTAAATGTTTAAGGGGCAAAAAAAATCAAACAAATATCTGAAAATTCGTCGATATGTAGCTATATATAGCCTATATATTGTTGCGCAGCATTTGGCATAGGCCTACAGTTCAAATTAAAATGTTATGCAATTTTAAACGGTTAATCGTTTAAACATGGACACCCCTATGTGCATCTTGCTTCAGATCATAACGTTCCATAACACCGATAAACTCCGCCTTTTACCTTGAGCACGCCTCTAGCCCGAGCTGGCCCCCTCTGGCCCAAGGTATTCGACGGGCCAGAAATCCTGGCCGTTGGCCCTGAGGAAGCCCCGATCAAGCCCCGGAAGTGACAGTGGAAACGCGACTGGCCCTGGCACGCACTAGCACGGCCCGGCCCTGGCCCGGCAGTGGAAACGCGGCTATTGTAATGCATTATTCAGCACTATTTCAGTGAGACAACAACTCAAGGTGGACTTGTCCAACTTATCCTTTAGAATAACTAAAGGTGGAAAGAGTGGCAATAACATGGACGTCCAGTGCAACACAATCATATGTACAAGTGCACACTGATTTCATAGAAGTGCAAATGTTGCTGAGCTACTGCAATGTAGCCAAACAATGGCAAATCACAACCCAAGATTTAGTGTGGGTGACTGACAATGCATCTAATGCACAATTCATATGAGTTTACAGTCAAGTCTAGATGTGAAGTCTGATTAGTCAAACTTTTGACATGAGCATGTGCCTGAAATTGTTCGCAGTAACCGGCACATCCACTTGGTGGCAAAATCATGGACCGGTCACAATTTATATTTAGGTGTCTTCAACAACTATGCACTTACGAAACAAAAACTTGTGTACAGTGTACTTATTGTGTTGATGTTATATTGCAGAACACCCGTGCTGCTACGGGCAAGGTTAGGCACAGGTTTTGTGGTAATTATATAGATGTAATGACATGCAGGTATTTCTTTGTAAATATAAGTACAATGTAAAAACATTTATGCAATAAATGCATTGCATCAAATGATTATTTTAAAATGTACATACATTGTAGTTAAAGACACTTAATATAAAGTGGGACCAATGGGTCATTGCTTTCACAAAGTAGTTGCAACAGAAATATTAACAGACACTTTCTTTAAGCTAATTTTCTGACCGTTATTCCAACACAAGTGGCAGAAGCAGCAGCACGTCTTTACATGACAATGGATGAGTGTTTTGTTTACCCAGTATATGATGCTTTTTCTTTGACTTTCAGAGCGGCAGATACTTGCCAAAACTTACATAGCATAGCTTCTAAAGTTAAAGCGCTAAGTTCAACTGATTCATTGCCTACTAAAACGTCTGCAATAAGTGTTTTAAACAATGGCAGATACTACTCAACTAAGCAACTATATTTCTGGCTTTTAGGTTGTGTGTTCCCACTTGTAGTTTGGTTCTCTCTGGACCAAAAAAGAAAATGAAACATTAAGTATTGGTTCACTTACCATTGATTCACACTGTAATTTTTCATTTGGCTTTTATGGCGTGTATTTTGCGACGGATGATGGGCTAAATGCACTTGTTGTAAAGTTGTGGTCAGAATTACTGGCACCCAATGGTGAATATGATCAAAGATGCCAGTAATACAAATCTGCATTGTTTATCCTTTTGATCTTTCATTGAATTATTTTTTTTTTTTTTTTTTTTACAAAAATCAAACCTTTCATTGAAGTAAAAGAATTGGAAGTTGGGGGAAATCAAATGTTTTTCTACAAAATATGTTGGCCACAATTTTTGGCACCCCTACAATTTTTTTATGAGTGAAATATCTCTGAAGTACATTCCCATTAGTATTTACATTTTTTTTAGCACACCAGGGTGACTATGAACATGAAATTGTCTAGTTATGACTTCTTGTTTCATACGAGTAAAACCAAAGAACATGGTTCTGATGTGCAGCAAAAGATTGATGAGTGTCACTAAATAGAAAGTGTTGTAAGAAAATGGCTAAAGTATTGCAATTGCAATAATTAAGAAGTTTCAATCAACTAAAGATGTTACGAATCTGCCTGGGAGAGGACATGTGTCTGCATCGTCCTGATGCGTGGCGAGGAGGAAGGTCTTAGTGGCCAAAGATTCTCCAAGGATCACATATGGAGAATTGCAGAGATTAGTTGAGTCTTGGGGTTTTAGAAAGCCTATATAAAAAAATAAACATTTAAAAAACCCCTACATCTCCACATATTGTTTGGGAGGGTTTCAAGAAAAATCCCCCTTGATGATCCAAAAAAAAACCCCTAGCAAATTCTGTTGTCAGACACGACTGGAATTCGAACGGGTCTGAATTATATGGTCAGATTAAACAAAAAAAAAAAGCTTTTTCACAGCAAAACACCAGATGTGTTTGGTTCAAAACATGGATAAAAGGTACCCCATGCCTACGGTTAAATATACCGCTAGATCATCAAAATCAACACAAAAATGTGTCACTGAGCACAAAAAGAAGCTTCTGCAAGGGCCATCCCAGTCCCTGACCTGAACCCTGTAATGTAGGAGACGAGTGTGTTGAACTGAAGAGAAGCAGTGCTAACATGGATCTGTGAATCTGGAGACAGTCTGTATGGTCTCTGATCTCTGGTCAGTATTAGGTATTATAGGAGAACAGCTGTTATATCGGCAAAAGGAGGTTGCAAAAAGTATTTAACCGGTTCATGGGGTCTATATGACCCAAAATCGAATTTTACTTAATAAAAAAAAGGTTCCCTTCATCTCAGTGGAATAAGATTTTGTGACTTTTCATACATTACACAAAAATAAAACTGGGCTTGATTCGGTTGTTCTGAAGGTATGTAAAAAAATGTTTACACTTCTGGTCTTCGGGGTCAATATGACCCCACATTGAAATGAATGGGAAATGTGAAAAAATTTTTTTTATATATATATATATATTTTCTTGATGTGTCAAAAAAAAAAAAACTGGCATAAATCTGAAAATTTTTACACAGAAATGAAGGCCTAGTACTAGAGCATAAATGCAATGCATCATAAAAAAATAATATTTCATATGCTAATTCTAAAGCTAATGGTGTATATGGATACAAAAGTAGTTTATATCTCCAAAAATTAAAGGAGCAATGTGTGACTTTTAGCGACATCTAGTGGTTCGGTTGCGAGTTTGCACCAGGTTTGCACTAAGGGCTCAACCCACTGCTCACCCCTCCCTTTCGAAGAAGCTACGGTTGCTAAAACGGGACAAACATCTCGTCGGCTGAGACAGCAGAGAATAGCCAGAGTAAGCCAAGAGTGTGTAACATTGTCACTGTTTCTGTACCACAGTCCATTATAAACCACATCATGAATACTGTCTGTTTACAAAGCCATAGTCAGGTGAGGATCAAGGGTTTTAATATATAATTTAATAAAATAATAATCAGCTGATTGTCTCACAAACGTAACCAGCAGCACATTTCTCCCCACATACTGTAGCAAACCATAATACAGCGAGGGAGCAGCTATATATTTTTTCTAACAGGGTAGTAATAGTTTAGCTGGCTAATATGAGCTGTTACTGTGGCTGAGCTGGGACGCGTCTGCATGAGTCCAAAGGTCGGAACTGCGCGCGCTGTTACAATCATGTCATCTCCGCATCCCATAGATACTATTTACTACACACAATAGGCTTTTTTTCTCTGATTTTTAAAATTCTTCGCGATCGACTTTAGTGATAAAAGACTTTAGTAAAAGTCTCTATCGACGGGTTAGTGATTCCTGTAACGTACTGTTTTACGGTCAATGACATGAATACTAATCATCAGCTGTCTCACGAACGTAACAGCACATCTATCCCCAACATAACAAACCCATAACACAGCGAGGGAGAACTAAGTTACATGAAACAATCCCAACTACATATTTTACACCACTCACAAGGGAAAAGTCACTACTCACGGAGTGTAAGGCTAGCTTCCAGCTTTCCGCTACTTCTCTTTCAAGGTAGTGATGAAACGCGTTCTGATGCGCTGTTTGTTCGCGTTCGGCTACGGTAGGAATATGACGTCACAACATGGCGACCTTCATAGAAGGGGATTCCCTCGGTTATGGAGCTATTAATGTCTCATTCTAAGGTAATAAAAACATTACGGCTAATTAAGTAAGTTCTTTATACACCACTGAAAACATAGTTATGGATGTCATATTGCATTTCTGTTAATAGATACTCAACTTTGTTACACATTGCACCTTTAATTAATACATGAGAAGTAAAAAAAAAACAAAATGATATATTATTTGTATGATTCAAAATGTATATTTTTTTGTGCAATTACTCGGGTCGTATAGACCTCGAAGACCAAAAGTGTAAACAAGAAACCAAGACCATTTGAAGGTTAATAAAAGGGTGCCAATAATTGTGGCCAATGTGTTGGAGAAGGGCATTCATTTCATAATGTGATTTCCCTCCACTTTCACATGAAATGTTCGATTTTTGCGAATTTTTTTGAATGAAAGATCATAAGGATAAACAATGCAGGCCATCTTTGATCATATTTACCATATTTACAACTGTATGTGTGTGCATATGATGGTATTTTTAGCAGCTGAGAACTCACAAAGAGCTTATAAAATGTGTAAAGGAGTAAAAACAGCATCGGGAATCCCTCCATCACGCACACAAATGAAGATCTGCGGCGAGGAGACGCGTTTTTGACGCCTGTACCGAACGGTGATGGGCAACGTAGAGGAACCAGCTTGAGCTTTCTGTCATTTATAGGCTCGCATCTTGTCTTTGGTCCATGTTGCGTTCATATTTCGGTCATAACTTGTGGTTCGTTTGGAAGCGGTCTGAGATCCCTGCGATGGCAGCGTCACACTTATTCAAATGAACCTCACAAACAGAGCAATCCCACCAGAGTTTGTTTTCATCAAACTAAACCTGCCAAGTGTGAACACACCCTAAATCTGGTCTTTCTTTGGAGCTCACCTTGTCCATCATCATTTGAGCAGAGGGAAGCACATTGTCCAGTGCCTCAGTGCAGTTGAGCCAGGGATGGGCTAATACTCCCTCTATGGTTAGTCTCTCCTCCGGCTTTACTTTAAGTAGCCTTAATGCAACACAATATGTTAGATCTTGTTTCTACAAAATGTGAGAAACAAAGCATTGGCTTACACCACTAAAACGTCATTTATTTATTGCACTCTGGATCTCTTATCATTCAGTTGAGGCCAGATTATTCTCCCTCAAAACCATGACTTAAACAATCTCAACTGAGAATTAAGATGCAAGCAGCATCACAACTTATAACCAATAAGTGGTGCTGTCAACTAAATTGATAAGGGTATTCTGCCAATGACAAAGTCATGAAACATGAAGGATTTTAAGACTTGATCACTGAACTCGGTGTGACGAGGAATCAAAGGGAAAAATCTACTGTTTTCACAGCTTTCAATTCATTTACATTTCCTGTTAGTGGCACTAGAGGATTTGAGAAAGTGATATTAAAATAAAATCCACCCTGATAATTGTGGCAAATTTCAGAACATTTTAAATTTGCTGCCATTGACTCCCAGACAGAACATAAACAGTAAAAGATTCAATACACGTTTTTGGCACTTGAATAAGGAGGAATAAAACAGAACGTAAATGAAAAGATGCGGACTCACTTGCGGACAATGTCCTTGGCCATTTCAGATATTTGACTCCACTCCTCCTCTGGGAAGTCGAAGCTGCCCGTCATGATTTTTTTGCGCATGTCTTTTGGGATTGTGCGGCTGTGATGTTTGGAGTAAAACGGAGGATATCCGCAGAGCATTACGTAGACGATCACCCCCAAGGACCATAGGTCACAGCTCTAAGAGCGGAAATGAACATGAAGTAAGGAGGAATCTTCACAGCTAGCAAGCTAAACACCTTCAGCCGATAAGTCGTGTGAACAAAGACTGCATGAGTAGATCGCAGTCAAAAGTGTGACGTTTTTAAGCATAATCTTATGAAACTTTGGCAACAAACTTAAGTTTATTAATGAGAGAATATCCTCGGTTTACACATTGACTGGGGGTTGTTGAAAAAGATTATCTAAAAGATTAAAAGGACCAAAAAAAAAAAAAGCTTTTAGTAGCAAAGCCATTTTATTTATGAATTTAAAGGCCATTGATTAAAAATTGTATTTATATAAATTATCGGCCTCAATAATTGTTGTAGGAGCAGCCTAAATGTTTGTTTATAATTGATGAGGACCACCTCACAATAATTTTAAGAGTAAGAAACACTGAAATCCAGATATTTTCAAAGGGTTCAAAAACTTTATAGCAAGAATAAGATCAGTTGAATCAAGATCAGACAATCAAGTCAGTTGTCTAATTACAAATAGTGAAATATAATAAAAAGGATGAATTTTAGTAAAATATATATTTTTGTGTGTATTTTTAGGGGAAGTTTATAATGGAAAAATGCACCAAAATACTTTTCAATTTCTATATGAAATATATATTTTCCAAAACATTTTACTCATAAAACTTAAAAATCAAAAAGGCATAAACCTAAACAAGTTGTTTTCAAAATTTGAGGCTGAAATCTTTTAAAAAAAAAATTGCTTTGAGCAAGATTTTATTTGGGCGCAGTACCAAAAGTTTCCACCTTTTCCAAGTTTCAGCTAACACAGAAACCAAAAAATTCTCGGGCCAGCAGATTTCAATCTTAACTGTTATATTTCATCCGAAACGATCTTAAAACTTGGCTTTAAGTGTAAAATACTGAAAGAACAAGCAACACTGAGAAGCATAAGGTATACCTTGTTGTAAGTGTAAGGGGTGGGTGAGGTAGGTATTATTCCAGACTTTTCTTTCTGGTGCCGTCTTTGTGCCTCCAGCACCTATTAAAGAAGGTTAGATCACATAATAAATAAGTTTTGTGCTGTTTATTTCAAGTCTTCTGAAGAGAGACACAATTAAATCGGATTATCTCTTTATATGACGATCACATGTAAACAGTGCACATGTGTAGAGCTCAACACATAAATCGAAGCAAACTTGATTGACACAGGTATCGAGTGCTATGAATATGACCACAGACGACATCAGTATAAATATTACTGTATTTATATATTCATGCAGTGTTCGTCTTGTTGCTAGGACTGTTTCATATGTTTCAATAGCAGACCAATTATTATTTAGAAGAGGCTTTAAAATAATACATTTTGAACTCAAATCAATATTTTATTTCTACATAACTTAGGTAAATAGCCAACTAATAAGTAGGATAATTAATACAGTTAGTCATTAATAAAAAATACACTTCTTTATAGTGATCTCATTATTTTGCTGTGACATGTTTTTCCAGACTATGCAGTTCATTTAAATTGGACCAGGTAGGAAGTTTTGAATTCAACTATTTGGAAAGATTAAGGAAACGGGAATTGATGATATAGTACGATCCCTTAAAAAGTAAAGAGAACAGTTTACATCTATAAGAGGACAATGAGGTCTTACCTGCGGTGCTACGTAGTATGGAGTGAACTGTGGGGTCATTAGATCACCTTGGTCGATTTTGGCAAAACCAAAATCACACAGTTTAACAGGGGCGTCCTGATGGGGCATAAGAAACAGGACTCAACAATATAATAGTGGAAATATCCTTACTGATTATTGGAATAACTTGCTTCATTGAGAAATATCTTAAAGTTAGAAATAATTACGGGATGAGAATTTAAAAAAATATTTTTTTATACAGGTTAGGATTGTAACAATACATGCATTCTGGAAACGAAAAATGCACTGTGATATGACATGTTATATATCTTTATATGCATTCTGGAAATAAAAAATGCACTGTGATATGACATGTTATATAAACGAGTTATCTTTATATGCATTCTGGAAATGAAAAATGCACTGTGATATGACATGTTATATATCTTTATATGCATTCTGGAAATAAAAAATGCACTGTGATATGACATGTTATATAAACGAGTTATCTTTATATGCATTCTGGAAACGAAAAATGCACTGTGATATGACATGTTATATATCTTTATATGCATTCTGGAAATAAAAAATGCACTGTGATATGACATGTTATATATCTTTATATGCATTCTGGAAATGAAAAATGCACTGTGCTATGACGTGTTATATAAATGAGTCATCTATCAATATCTCTCAATTCTGACTAACAAAATAACAGTGGTAAAATGAATTGTCCTTACTGATTACTGGAATAACTTGCTTAGTTCAGAACAATCTTAAAGTTAGAAAATTCACGTGATGAGAATTAAAAAAAAATAATTTTATAAAGGTTAGGATTGTAAAAATTCATGCATTCTGGAAATAAAAAAATGTCTCAATTCTAACTAACAAAATAACAGTGGTATGACGAATTATTAATGTAGATAGCAATGTGATTGAGCTACAAACATTCCATATTAAATCACATGCATTTAAAACACATCAATATTTTTTATAAGCAGCATTTCTATTCTGTCAGAAATGACCAAGATCATCCCTGGAGTAACAATTCAGTCACACTTTAATGAATGGAACAAAACATTATTTTGGTTTCAGGTCTTACCAGGGAATTATCCTTGAAGAGCAGGTTCTCCGGTTTCAGGTCTCGATGTGCAATATTTAATGAATGACAGTGTTGCAATGCAAGGCTTATCTGTAAAAATGTTTTTAAAAAACTATTTAATACAAATATAGGTCATTTGATTTACTGCATTTTAAGTTTCCAGTGCAAGTTATGATGTTTATAATGTTCCATTTACAATAATGTTAATAAGTCCACCAAAATGAATAGAGACTATTTATAATAATGTATATGAAAATAATATAGCAGTTATTTGTATTTGTAATCATCAATTTTGGATCTTAAAAATGTCTTAGAAAATGTTGAGATTAACATTAACTAAGATTAATAAATGCTGTAGAAGTATTGTTCAGTCTTGGACCACGTTAACTAATGCCGACTAAATGAAACATTATAAAGCATTACCATTTTTTAATAAAGAAATTTGGCCATATGAGTGCAAAATTCACTTTAAAAGTTAAGGAATCTATTCAAACTAAGCTACTGTATTGAATGTGTATGATTTATTTTGAAGTGTTTGGGACATGACTTTCAATAGTAAGCTTTATCTCAAAGTATATCAAAATTTGAATTTAGATTTATTGGTCAATCAGCTTTCAAATGTAAAGACTTCATATCGGCGCATCCCTAAATACTATATATTTATCTTTATCATAGTTATCATCCTCGTATGAACCTGTACTGCTCTGTGCACATTTTTTATAATATTAAATATAATAATAATAATAAAAAATCATAACGTGGCCTATATGGACCATGATTGCTCTACCTGTTTTGTGACCTGGCTGGCCATCTTCTCTGTAAAGTGCTTGTGCTGGCTTATTCTGTGGAACAACTCGCCACCTTCCATCATTTCCATGACAATTAATAACCTTGCCCTTTCAAAAAGAGGTAAAGAAAACAGATTATTTATATTTGTAGGTAGTTAGATCATTGGAAACACTGTCTTAAAACTGCACATGTTGCACTCCACTACCTTGGACTGGATTCATGAGGAAACTGTACACTGTTGGCATACACCTCAATTATTTTAACAATGTTGGTGTGAGAGGCACACATCATATGAAGCCGAACCTGCAAATAAAGTGTAAGATGTTCATTTAAAGATGTGTTGTAAAGTCTGACATTTCAAATTCAACTTCACAGCCTGTGCTAGAGACAGATGGATGCTGTTATTAAAGGGATAGCTCACTTTATAATGAAAATTAAGTCATTTACTAAGAAAAGTGTTGTTCTAATGCCTTATGCCCTTCTTTCTTTAATGGACCACAAAAGGAGAATTTATTTATTTACGCACTCCTGTGATGATACTTTTGCATTTTTTTTTTTTAAAGTTTGCCATATGGACGAGCACAAGCGGAACATAAAAAAAAAGGTCCATAAAAGAAACAGGGGTGTTCAACATTATTTAGAACAACAGAATTGAATAAATAATTACTTAATTTTTCATTTTTGGGTGAAGTATCCCTTTAACCTCTAACATGAAAAGAAAGACAAGTTCTTCAAATACAAGTCATTAAATCATGCACACAGGGCTCACTACCTCATTGCGTGCTTTGGGTCTGTCAATCAAGATCTTAAGGGCAAACCGTTCTTGTGTCGACTTCTTCACACATACCCTGAAAAACAAAAACATCAATTCATCAGTTAATGTCTCAACCCAGTAAAGTCTGGTCGATATAAATAATTGTAATAAAAAAAAAACTTTTTAAAATGAACTTTTAGGCAACAAAAAAAGTTTGCATTTGTGTTTTTTCAAGGTGTTTTTTTAACCCTCAGGTGCTCTTCGTTTCGGAGTCACACATGTTATCTTCCCGGTCAAAAGTGACCGGACACCTAAAAATTAAATTTCCTCCATCCCAGTAAAACCAATGCAATTTATTTTTGTTCTATAATATTTCTTCTTTGTAATTTAGTATTTTGAGACAATTTGATTGAATTTATTAATATTTATGGTCTATTTTTGCCATGGAAAATATATATATTTTTCTATATATATATTATTTTTTTCAAAAAATTATTAATCCAGTATTTTAGTTTAATATAGAGTCTAGACCTTCAGAAAAAAAAATTTGAAGAAAATTAGCACCATCTGGTTACAGTATAGAGAAAAAGCGTAGAATCATGGTGTAACCACTAGATGGCATGTACAGCTCTCTATGGAGAGGCATGTGAATTCCCCAGCATGTGAATTTATGAACACATTTTTTTTTTTGTGGATTTGAATATAGTTTAAACAATCTCAAAAAAGATTTTTTATTTAAAAAAAAAAAATGTAAAAAAAAAAATAATAATAAAAATTTGTGAATTTTTGTGTTCTTACCAATTTCCCATTCATTTCCTATGGGGGTCATTTTTGACCTAAGACCACAAGTGTGACTATTTTTTTAAGGCCACTTAGCATGCTCAGATTATGACCTCAATTTTTTTGTGTGTTCACATACATAATGCCATAAAAGTCACCAAGTTTTGTAACGTTCAGATGAAGCTGTGATTTTTTAAAATTCAAAACACTTTTTGGGGATGTAGAATATGGTCATGCAGAATAAGGCTTTATAAGAACTAATGAGTAGTAATATGCATGTTAATAATAAGCAACTAGTTAATAGTGAGAATTGGACCCTAAACTAAAGTGTTACCAAAAGCTATTCTTGCGTTTTAAAAAAACAAAATCAGTAAAGATATCACAGCAAAAAGACATGTAAACCTCAAGCTGAAGGTGGACTTTTATATTTAGCAAAACTTCTTTCTACTTTTTTTCCCCCAATGTTTCAGGAAAAGATTTCAGTCCACCAAAACTATTTTGGCTTAACTTTGAAAACACACACCTACATCTACAGTGGGAAAGAGGCTAATAACTACATCTGCTAGTGGAGGATTATGCGGTTTACAGGAAAACACATACAGTACAACTCTTTATTTTACACAAATACGTGACCCTGGATAACAAAACCAGTCGCACGGGTATATTTGTGGCAATAGCCAACAATACATTCTATGGGTCAAAAAAAAAAAGATAGATTTTTCTTTCATGCCAAAAATCATTACGATATTAAGTAAACATCATGTTCCATGAAGATATTTTGAACATTTCCTACAGTAAATACATAAAACGCTTATTTTTGTGAGTGAATGCAGAACAATCACGAACATAATGGACAACTTTCTCAAAGTTTCGATTGTTTTGCACCCACAGATTTTCAAATAGTTGCATCTCGGCCAAATATTGTCATATCCTAACAAACCACACATCAATGGAAAGCTCAGTGTTATTCAGTGTTGAGATGATTTATAAATCTCAATTTAATTTTTTTTTTAAATTGTGGTCAAGGGTCACATGACCCTTCAAACTGGACATAGCCACATACCTGACAGGACCACTGATCCCAGCTCCCAGCTTCTGTGTCCAATTGATGTTATACTCTTCCAGGATGGATGTTTCCTATAACAAGAACACACAGATCGTTCAGGAACAGTTCATTCAATTCACTCCATCAACATTATTATATATTACGCATTACATATAATTGATTATTGCAATATAAGTGGTAATGGTTGGTTTCTGAATTGGGAATCATGATGTAGCATCTGGACCAATCAGACACAATTATTCATTATATTTAATGAATAATCCAACAGACGCCTCAAGACCGTAACAAGCAGCGGTCCAAGCCGGCGCCGAGATGTCTGCTCTTCCACTGATCATCATTATCAGTTTTTCCCCCTGGCTGACACTAGTCCATCAACTAGTGGACATCAGAGACATCCCAGGTGAGGGAAGGTGGCCACAAGCAAAAGCACAGGCCATAGTAAAGACACACAAGGCCCATATAAAACCACTGCTTTCCATTAATTCATACACAAACCTTCTATGAATGAACATGCATATCTCCAGGACATCGTGTGTAAGATTATCTCTGTCTTGTACAGTGTCTTTTGTATTGTATACTGTTTTATGCATGCTTTATGATAGAACCACTTGTTAATGTAGCCTCATCTATACCAAGTTTCCTATAAAAATAATCCTCATTTAATGTCCTACACATCGGTGTACATCAGTGGTTCTCAACTGGTTTGACCATGGGCCATTTTCCCATGACCCGTTTTTTTTAGCCATTGAAACCTAATTCCTAAATATATATATAAAATATTTAGGGCTGTCAAACAATTAATCACGATTATTCGCATACAAAATAAAAGTTTGTGTTTACATTATATATGTGTGCGCACTGTGTATAATTATTTTGAATATATATATATATATATATAAATAAATAATACACACACATGCATGTATATTTAAGAAAAAAATATTATTTATATATAAAATATTTATATTTATATATAATATAAATCTACAGTATATACATGAAAATATTTCTTAAATATATACAAGCATGTGTGTGTATTTATATATATATATAAAATAATTATACACAGTGCACCCACATATATTATGTAAACACAAACTTTTATTTTGGATGCGATTAATCGCGATTAATCGTTTGACAGACCTAAAAATATTATAAAACAAGTACTGTCCCACCTAACTTAACACACTTGCATACATTTTAAGCCATTAAATAGCAGTCAGTAGCTTTTTTGTTAATACAATAAAATTAAGTTGGTATGAGCCACAATAGTCATTTAAAAACATATAAAAAATAAAATAAAAAAAACACTGAGTGAAAATAAAGTGGTATTTTACCATGGAAATAAATACACGATACTAGCATGAACTGTTAATAAAACATACAGACACTGAATCTGATAAATAGTATGAACACCAAACCTGCTTGCAAACCGTTCACAGCAAACACACGTAGCAGTGGCGTAATTTATTGGTACATTAATTGACAACTGTGACGCTTGTACAAGTTACGAAAATTAAGTTAGAATACATTAGCCGCGTTTCCATTACCCTTCAAATTGCGCAAATTGAGAACACGTCAAAAAATTCTGTTTATCGCAAAAAAGAGTTTACACGCTCGCATGATGAAGTGGTTTTTCAGGCAATTTGAAAAAGGAATATTTCGCAAAACTGCAATGGAAACAGTTTTGGCGCATTTACAGACAGCTGACTTAGATGGCGTGTTGTGAGATAGAGTTCTTTATTAAATTCATAAAAGACAAAAGAATTACAGGAGTACTGGATTCTAAACCTCAAAGAAATGTCACAATCAAGACCTCGGAGCGGAAACGAGGGAGAAACAGAGAAACTCCTCATATGTGCCGTTCACAGTATAAAGGCCTGTTCACACCGGGATGAATTTCGCTGACGTTTAAAGCTTTGTGACTAAACAAAGGACGCCAATGTGAGTGCGCACACCGACGTGAAAAACGCCACGCATAAAAGCGTCATTTTTTTTTTTTTTTAAAAACGCCTCCGTTTTTTTGTTTTGTTTGACACAACACATTCTCATCCCAAAAAGTCATATAACTGACGTTTTGGGACGTCTTTTGACCATCCGTCAATATTCGCCTTTTTAGGGCCCCCTTAAACGTTGCTAGATGGCGAACCCGGGTCGTCATACAACTGACGCTTTACCTTTAACGTCAGTTAGGTGACGGGTTAGGTTTAGGTCTGGGGTAGAGTTAGGATCCCAAAACCTCATCTACCGACGTTTAAGGGGGCCCTAAAAAGGCGAATATTGACGTATGGTCAAAAGACGTCCCAAAACGTCAGTTATATGACTTTTTGGGGTGAGACTGCGCTGTTTGACACGCTGCCTCAAAAACTATCCGACCAATGAGATTGGCCCTTTCGCTCACATGTCATGAGCTTCTGAAGTTACAGTAAAACACAACTTGGGGGTGCTCAAACACAAAACGGTCTTGCCGAGCACCCATACGTAACGGCGAAGGAGATATACGCCAAGTAGCGTCTACACTGCCGGAAAGAAATAAGACGAAGAAGACGCAAGGCAAGATGAATGTAGAGCTGCTGGTCTCGTTGTTGTCGGAACATTTGCTCTCTTCCTCTGAGTGACAAGCGAGTATCAGAAGTGTACAGTTGCACAGCGCCACCTTGTGTTCCGGGGTACTTCGGTTTTGCATTAAGCGCCATCTAATATCAGGGAATGAATTTGCATGTTCACTCGGGTCATCGTCAACGAAAATCGCTTGCGTGTGAACACAAAAAAACGCTGGCGAATAACGTGTGCTTGGATAACACCACGTCTCCTTCCATTAATAATAATAATAATGTCTAGTGCTCTGATATATATAAACCTTCCATGACGAAATAAAAATCGTTTTGGTCGCATAACATCGATTGGTAACGCCGTCAATTCAAAATAGTTTTATTGATAGTTAGAACAAAAGTTTTGCGCAAATCTGTAATGGAAACGCGCCTACTACTGACATGTAGCCTGACAAGATCTCTTCTGACTGAAGATACTGAGTATCTGTATTTGACAGAACAGCTTTTACACATATGTTTCAAAATAAAAGTCTTGCTTCAGAAAAAAAAAAAAAAAAAAAAAAATTTTCTTTGACCGACCCACCAGTTGAGAAACACTGGTGTACATCACCTCCTCATAGCAAGCATTGTATTATTGTTATATTAATTCGTAATTAATTTAAAGTAAATTAATTCGCAAAGTATGAAAGGACACAAATTGCCAGCCCACTCTGATATGCAAAACACCATGCTCAAAGGGTCATAAACTTTTCCTTCGAAAGTTTAAGTTAACATCGGCTCACTGACCCCCTGGAGGAGTGACCTCCACAGAAGTCCCACTGACCCTTCTCCTCTTCCTCCTCCTCCTGGTTGCTGTTTGTGTGAAAAGAGTGGGGACATCCAGTCCGACTGCGGGACCTTTCCCCCGGTGCGCAGCCGGAGGGGCCTCAAGTTACAACCACTGTATGTTCCTCCACCATTACGGTCAATCTAACACGGCAAGTTCATCGTCATTTCTTCGTGATCGATCGCAACTTCAACACCATCGACTTGCTGAGCCATCAAGAGTTCTCCTGAGATTGCATCCGGACGCCTGTTCAACGGCTAATGCCTGGTTCAGATTACACGATTTTTTGGTCTGTTACGATAGCCATTGTGTCAGATTGCGCGTACTCACTCAATATGACGCGCACTCACTCATTCACATTTACTCACACGTGACGCACACATACATGCACATACACAAATTCCTGACGGAAACTGTCGTGGAGGACCGAAAAAAGCATCACAGACAAGGCGTCAGTTATCGTCCGCTATGACACACACTATACAAATTTTGTGTCCCGACGCCCGTTGTCGTTTACGAATTTGTACTGATATAGCAACTTCAGATATACATGTACTTATTCATTATTTGTTATACAATCATCATTATCTAAAAAAAAAAAAAAAAAAAAAAAATTAAATATGTCACTAATGACAAATCTACTCCAGTTTCAATTAAACCCAAGTGGCGCCACCGTGCGTCTCAGTGATGCATTGCAGTGCAAATGACCTCAGATGACATCAACATACTGTAATATTCTGACTGCAATACTGTTACTGGGATTGTTTTGTTTATTAAATTGTTTTCTTGGTGGAATATTTAATGTATTACACAGATAAACAAATTTAACTCAAATTGATATGTCATGTCAATGTTCTGATTTATTTATTTAGGTTAGTAGCCGTGTGACATGCAAGACAATGTAACTTACAGACAGCAGTTCATTAGTGGAACTCGTCATTTAATGGAAATACAGTTATTAGAAGTTACAGAAATGGAAAGACTGAACTGTTTACTTTATGTCCATGAATTAGCCAGCTTACCTTAATGAACCTGTCCACGATGGTGTCCTCGGACATGATGTTAATCGTGATCTTCTCTTTCTGGCTTCAACAGGCTCGTACAGGTGCGATCTTACCAAAATCGTGATGTTGAACGAAGTCTACTAAGCGCTAAGATGCCGTCTCGTGTTTTATTCCCATGCTGTCCGATGAACTTTTGAACACCAGAGCTTTTCTTTGTCAGAACTGGCATTAAATGTCACAAGGCTATGCGTGTTCGGCTAACATCTTAGCTACACATTCACAGGCAAAAGTACCGCAGACTATCCACCGTTGAAGCTATTGTACCTCCAACCAGTATTGACTACAATGTTGTTGACAACTGAGTAACTAAACCGACGAAGGACAAAAAAGAGTTAAAGGTAATGCCTATTAGAAGCAGCTAGCTATGTAGCATGAGCTCACAGCAGATGCTAATTCTCGCTCTCATGGCGTCACATGCGCGTGCTAGTTCTGATAACGTCGCTGGCCTGATCAGGATTCAGCGCTTTACAGTGTTTTGAAAAGCACCATAGAGGCCAAATACTATCTTGGGGTTGTTTGCTAAGGTGCTAGTGCTACCTTTGATCCAAAGCTGAGGAAGATTTTTCTTCTTTATTACACGCCACATTCTGCAAAGCAAGAGATCCAGGCTCATTCCGCCGCCTAACGGAGAGGAGCGCGAGCTTTCACATAGTGTGACGATGACGCGTTTTTTAACGGTCATCAGTATCGTAAATCACGTTTTTTTAATATTATATGTGTATGTATGTACATTTATAACACTATACTTTTTAGTATATTACCTTTGAATCCAATTACCAAAAAAATAAATAAAAAAACGAAAGTCCTCATGAAATCAAAAAAATCAATTTTTTTTTTTTAGCTTTTAGTAGTTTTAATATGTTGGTCTTACTGACGGTTATCTATAAAACAATGACAGAATTCGAATTTAGAAGATATAAGCAGTCAAAACTAGTCTCTCAATGATTTTGATGACATCACTGCACTTCTGCTTCATCAGATTTTCTGTCCAATCAAATGCTCTCTAGAATCTGAAGATCCGCCCCTTACATTATAAATAGATGCTGAAGCTGTGGCTAAAATCAGTCACTTGTTCACACATCTACTATTTTCTACATGGTGAATGGCACATAGTGCACTATTTAGGGGATAGGGAACGATTCAGACAGTGTAAATATGCTTTTCATTGGGCTGAATGAAACCTTTGCCACGGCTCAAAAGCTTAAAACAGTGGAAAAAAGTTCTTTAGTATCTACTCTAGGAAAATGTTTCTTCTACGGCATCGCTATGAAATTCCCACTTTTTTATGACTAAAACTTCGTAGGTTTTAAATCTGCAGTAGTAACTTCTTGTTGATTCAATAAGGGAATATGTCAACTACTGGATTGTCATTGTAATGTGTGAAACGTGTTTTATACCAGTATTATTATAGTTAACAAAAATTTAAACCATAATTTTTTGAAACAAATTAAAAATATTGATACAAACTATAATAGTATCTCAATGATACTAATGGTACTGTGTTTTTAGTTTACCACAGTAATATACAGGGTAAGAATTGGTTCATATTTCCAGATAAATAGATTCCCATCCTGAATTAAATGTAGATTCACAAAAAAACAACTACAAAAAACAAAACACAAATGAATAGAATGAGATTCACAAATGCGTTAGGAATTTCACAAAAATTAATTAAATTAACAAATACGTCAAATGGGATTTGCCTATAGTAATATCCTAGCACTAAATGATTAGCATATCCATCTATTAACACAAAAAACACTAGTTTTACCATATTTAACAGAGTATGGTGTTCATGATGAAGGAGAGAATACAAATTTGTTCTAAAATGAACAAACATAAAGTATAAATAAATAAATGTTTAATCTGTGAAACCAAACATTTTTCAATTTATTTTTGTTTCTTTTGCAGGTCATCAAATCATATCTAACAATAAATGCTGCAATATCACAGAGACTGTTACTGTTTGATATTCATTTATTTTCTTCTGCATGTTATTACAAAAAATCTAATCATAAAAGGACAAATATTTATGCAAATTAAGAATAAATGAATGAGGAAAAAAAAATTATAAAAATAATTGGACCATTTATTACACAAATCAGATGGATAATCAAAAAACTTCCGTAACTTATAATTGTAAGAAGTTTATTTTGTATGTACTAATCGTGTGTGTGTATGTATATATATGATGATTATACATAAAAAATAAAGTAATATTTATTTATTTTTTTCTCAGTACACATTAAGACATTATTTGATTTAATGAAATAAATTTAAAGAGTAATGTTCATTTCAATAATGTCCGTCACAGCTCAAATCGTTCGATGACGGCTTCTCTAAATGAATTTCTCCATTTATGAATTTTTCTGAGGGACCTTAATTGTAACCTGTGGAGGAAAAGAGTTAGTAAATAAAAATGAGTGCATAGTTAATGATATCTGCAATTTACAGATCATTGCCCAAATAAACACATTAATAAATGCCTAATAATAACCTACTTGACAATTTGAAATAAGAAACTGTAAAAGCAGTCAATCACTTTGGCATTATTTTAGATTATAATCCAGATATAAGCATAACATTTAAAGTTTACAATGAGTGAATTATGAATAATGAGCGCACTTTTGTTTTCCTGATGGTAAAACCTTACCGTTTTGACCTCGGTGTAGTTGTCAAGTCCGTACTGTCCTAACTCACGACCAATCCCTGAGGCCTTGTAGCCTCCGAAGGGAGCCTGCACACTGAACACGTCGTAGCAATTAATCCTAATCAAATCAAATCACAAGAACAAGCCTGATGTGAACAAGAGGTCTGATATTCCAATATCCAAGATATCTATTTTCTTTAAGATAACAAAGCGCACCTCACACACTTACCACACAGTGCCAGCACGCAGGCCATTGGATATGTAATGGGCCTTTTCAATGTTTTGGGTAAAAACAGCTGCTGCAAGGCCATATTTGCTGTCGTTGGCTCTCTCAATCACTTCTTCTAGAGATTTAAACTTCAGAATTTGCATTACAGGGCCAAAGATCTAACAGTACAGAAAGGGAATAGCATGTTATATCATTTTACTAGATGTACATCTTATACCACCCATCTGTGTGCAGACCAGAATGCCATAAACTGTGCAATATTATTATATCAATATTATTACACTGCGTAAAATATGCTGCTGATGTCCATAAATCCTGTAGCTGAAGGAGCACACTGCATAACAAGCTTACAGCCAACCCTGAACCAGACTATTTAAATGTTGAGCAAGCAATCTCATTGGCTGCTGGATCAGCAGAGCCAATCAGCTTGTGCCATGTGGTAATGATGTGAGTGCTCACGGATTGCATGCAAAGGACTGATCAGCCTGCGCCCCCTAGAGTTTCATGATTGAACTTTAACATTTAACATTTTTTCATTGTCGTTATTAACAGTTAATTAATTAGGACTGATTATTAAGCAGGAAATATTAAACAAGCACATCTGGGAAAAAAAGAAGAATGGAACCGCACTAGATGGTAATAGGGCCTTTCCCTAGTAATACGTTAAAAGTGAAACACACACACACACACCTCCTCCCGAGCAATTGTCATGTCATCCTTAACATCCCCGAAGATAGTGGGCTGGATGAAGTATCCGCGATCAGCTGCCGCCCCCCGCCACACATGAGCTTGGCTCCCTCGCGCTTCCCACTGCTGATGTAGCCAAGAATCTTCTGGAACTGTTCCTCATCGACCTGGAGTACAGAGAAGAAATACATGATCTTGATTGAGTGATTCAAAAATATGTTACATTTATGTTCTTTTAAAGGGGTCAGGGGTGGTAAAATGCCCTTTTCACAAGATGTAAAATAAGGCTTTGATGTCCCAGAGTGTGTATGTGAAGTTTTAGCTCAAAATACCCCACAGATATTTTTATATAGCATGTTAAAATTGACACTTTTTGAGGGTGAGCAAAAACACAGCGTTTTTGTGTGTCCCTTTAAATGCAAATGAGCTGCTGCTCCCGGCACAGGGGGCGGAGCTCGCTCACTCATTGTTCACTTGCTCTCTCGCTCACTCACTCACTCACTCACTTGCTCACTCACTCACTGGCTCACTCACTTGTTCACTTGCTCACTCACTCACTCGCTCACTCACTTGTTCACTTGTTCGCTCGCTCACTCACTCACACACTTGTTCGCTCGCTCACTCACTCACTTGCTCACACACTTGTTCGCTCGCTCACTCACTCGCTCACTTACTTGTTCGCTGCTCACTCACTCACTCACTCGCTCACTCACTCGCTCACTCACTCGCTCACTCACTCGCTCACTCACTCACTCGCTCACTTGCTGACTCGCTCACTCACTCACTCACTCGCTCACTCACTCACTCGCTCACTCACTCGCTCGTTCACTTGCTCACTCACTCGCTCACTCACTCACTCACTCACTCGCTCACTCACTCAATCACTCCCTCACTCGCTGACTCGCTCACTCACTCACTCGCTCACTCCGCTCACTCGCTCACTCACTCACTCACTCGCTCGCTCACTCACTCGTTCACTCGCTCACTCACTCAATCACTCGCTCACTCACTCGTTCACTCACTCGCTCACTCAATCACTCGCTCAATCACTCGCTCACTCACTCACTTGTTCACTCGCTCACTCACTCAATCACTCGCTCACTCGCTGACTTGCTCACTCACTCACTCGCTCACTCACTCAATCGCTCGCTCGCTCACCTGTGGGCCCTGCTCAGTCTTCAAGTCGAAAGGGTCTCCCACGACCCTCTTCTTAGCTCTCTCCACACTTCGCTCCACAAACTCGTTGTAGATGCTCTCCTGTACGTATGTGCGAGAGCCCGCACAACAGCACTGGCCTTGGTTGAAGAAGAGGGCGAAATGGGACTGCTCCACTGCCTCCTCCACTGCAAATGCAAATACACATGAATTAGAGAGATTAAAAAACGCGAGGAATCAAATTTTACTTTCTTATTTTTTTAATCCAAGACTGTATGACTTTCATTCTTCTGTGGATGAAAGGTATTTTTTTTGTAAATGTCTTGGTGTCCAAACTTGCTTTCATTTTATTGGCAAAAACATTTAAAATGTACTTTTTACTGAAAATGTAAAAAGTTTCCTTTAAAATCTTCTCTGTACAAAACAGAATGTCCTACAGGTTTAAGTACAACATGAAGGTGAATCAGTTATATATAATTAAAAGGTTGACAGGTCATGTACTACTAAATCATGACTGTACTAACATTGTAGATGGACCTCAGGAAATAATAGTAATAATAAAATAATAGTATAAAATGTATTATCATGACCCTTTTGAGTAGCCATAGAAATATAAAAGGAAATTGCAAATTTAGCGACTTTTTAGGACTGCTGGTTAACATGTTGTCAGTCCCTATATCACAATTGTTTTGTTATTTGACAGGGGACATCCGCCTATATATTATATAAAATACAGTATATGAGCAAGAAAAAGTAAAGTAAAGAGCTGACAGTTTAGAGTTTTTGAGCCACTTTCTATTGAAAACAGCTGGCAAAACCACTGCAAGTGTCAGGATAAACGGATAAACTCACTATCAGCATCTGATAAAATGATGTTTGGACTCTTTCCGCCCAGCTCCAGTGTGACCTTCTTCAGATTACTGGTACTTGAGGCTCGCTGGATGAGGTGACCTACCTATTCAACCATAATAACACAAACCAATATTATATTTGCAGTTTAAATTAAAGTCTTGCGTTCAATGTCCAAACACAAAACACAAATGAAGATATTTTTAAAGGAAACCTCCATTGCTAGGACTTTAGGTAATCAAAAATGTAATGGTTTTGGGGTTTAGAACAACATGAAAATGAGTACATTTTTGTGTAAACAAACAAACCTTTAATACCTCGCCAAGATTGGCATTCTTACCAAAAAGTCTTAGACACAGTAGATGCTTCACAAAAACTGAGAACAAATTTGCTCTTAGATAGTCATTTATATATTTTGCTATGGAGTGCCAATTTTAAGTCCAAATATTTAAGTTTTAAATATTGTAATAAGATTTCTGTACACGATTAGAAGAAAAGGTTCTATATAGAACCTTAAAAGGTTCTATCAGCGCTACGTATTTGGAACCCCTAAAAGGTTCTATACACTCTTAAAAAAAGGTTCCTCTGGGTTCTATATAGAACCCTGGGGTTCCGTACTTGGCCAATAGAACCTTTTACCAAAAAAAAAAAAAAAAATGGTTCTATATAGAACCATTTTGGAGTTCCATATATGAAGTGGGGTGATGGAACCATTTCCTCTAAGAGTGTTTGAACAAGAAC